CAGCTTGTTACCTGCATAAAAGACACCTGTCCACAGAAGCAATCAATCAATCAGATTCCAAACTCTCCACCATGGCCAAGACCAAAGAGCTCTCCAAGGATGTCAGGGACAAGATTGTAGACCTACACAAGGCTGGAATGGGCTACAAGACCATCGCCAAGCAGCTTGGTGGGAAGGTGACAACAGTTGGTGCGATTATTCGCAAATGGAAGAAACACAAAAGAACTGTTAATCTCCCTCGGCCTGGGGCTCCATGCAAGATCTCCCCTCGTCGAGTTGCAATGATCATTGGAACGGTGAGGAATCAGCCCAGAACTACACGGGAGGATCTTGTCAATGATCTCAAGGCAGCTGGGACCATAGTCACCAAGAAAACAATTGGTAACACACTACGCCGTGAAGGACTGAAATCCTGCAGCGCCCGCAAGGTCCCCCTGCTCAAGAAAGCACATATACAGGGTCGTCTGAAGTTTGCCAAAGAACATGTGAATGATTCAGAGGAGAACTGGGTGAAAGTGTTGTGGTCAGATGAGACCAAAATCGAGGTCTTTGGCATCAACTCAACTCGCCGTGTTTGGAGGAGGAGAAATGCTGCCTATGACCCCAAGAACACCATCCCCACCGTCAAACATGGAGGTGGAAACATTATGCTTTGGGGGTGTTTTTCTGCTAAGGGGACAGTAGAACTTCACTGCATCAAAGGGACGATGGACGGGGCCATGTACCGTCAAATCTTGGGTGAGAACCTCCTTCCCTCAGCCAGGGCATTGCAAATGGGTCATGGATGGGTATTCCAGCATGAAAATGACCCAAAACACAAGGCCAAGGCAACAAAGGAGTGGCTCAAGAAGAAGCACATTAAGGTCCTGGAGTGGCCTAGCCAGTCTCCAGACCTTAATCCCATAGAAAACCTGTGGAGGGAGCTGAAGGTTCGAGTTGCCAAACGTCAGCCTCGAAACCTTAATGACTTGGAGAAGATCTGCAAAGAGGAGTGGGACAAAAAATCCCTCCTGAGATGTGTGCAAACCTGGTGGCCAACTACAAGAAGCGTCTGACCTCTGTGATTGCAAACAAGGGTTTTGCCACCAAGTATTAAGTCATGTTTTGCAGAGGGGTCAAATACTTATTTCCCTCATTAAAATGCAAATCAATTTATAACATTCTTGACATGTGTTTTTCTGAAATTTTTAGTTGTTATTCTGTCTCACTGTTCAAATAAACCTACCATTAAAATTATAGACTGATCATGTCTTTGTCAGTGGGCAAATGTACAAAATCAGCAGGGGATCAAATACTTTTTTCCCTCACTGTATGCATGAATGAATGGATTCCTCTGGGGAAAAAAACAAAGCATTTAACAAATATTCTTTACATCTTGGCACTGCATATTTTTCCTATCTTTCCTATTTGTTTCATATAAAATATCATTAGATTGATACACCCAAATATTATTACTGACCACTTAACCATTATTTTTCATCTCTTTGACCCTGGAATTAGTCATGCAAGATATCTCCATCTTGTAGAGGAAATATACCTGTCTGCCCTTTCTCTGAGCAGTAATGTTTAACATATAGCCACAGAAGGCAGTGGTTAGACCATCAAAAGGAAGTATCAAAAACAGCTTAACACAAGGCAGAAAAAAATCTGTACAAAATGCTTAGGTCAATGATAACAGAGAAAAGTCTGTTTTGTATTTTACAGTTTAAAATCCCAAATCTGGGATAATCCCCCACCCTGCATGTATGACTTTTTTTTAAGCAAGGATTACTAAGTAAAATACATTTGCAGCACAGTTTGCTATTCCAATACATACAGCAGTTTTTCATAGCTATTTTATAGTTAATACAAAGCAGTTGTGATAAAGCAAAAATAATAACACAAATGCATTTTTGATCTTTGAAAGAGACAAGGAAAGAAAAGGACAAGAATAAGACAAGGCTGACATGTATGTACACCCTACTGTTGGAAAGCCCATCACCAAACTAATGACAATAGATTGTGGAAAATGGGATCAAATAAAGCTGGGTGATTTCTTCACAAAAAAAGCCCTACAGTTTGGATTGTGAGACCCTCAAGAAAAACAAGGTCTAATTTTATATTTGTGTAATTTTCGAGTCTTTTTTACAACAAAGAAATCGCAGTTTTAGACTACACTTGCAAGACATAGAACTAAGTGCAACTGAGTGAGTTTTTTTTTCTCTTTTAATTTAATCATTCCCTATAGGTTTGAACTGAGGTATGCGTACAGTTGTCGCAGGCTGTTATCTTTAGTAATGTCAAGCTACACATACTGAGAATGTTCTAATCTACCAGCTTTCCCCCCTTTAGAATACCAAGCAAACCAGCAAAAGACTAGCTTTGGATGAGCTCGAGTTGTTCTCACGATCCCAGTCCGGCTGTTACTGACCCATCCCACAGCTGCCTGCTATTGGATATTAAATAAATTTTCTGAAAACCACAGATTGCCCTTTTCATCTGTAATAGTAAATGCATGGTGAAATGTTAAAATAACTGCCATAAAATACTTTGTACCCAGCTTATTAGTTGACAGGAGTGTTTTTTAATATAAAAAGTAAAACGTTGACAGAAACTAAACACAATCATAAAGCCTTGCCAATGTTAACAAAGAACAGTACAATCCCGCCAAGATAGCAGGACTCACTAAAAAGTGGCATACAATCATTGGAAAGTTTACAAATTCATAAAGAATAAAAAATTAAACAAAATATTGAATCATTGGGTGGTCCAGTTGAAGTATAGAATCCTTTTCACATTGTTCTCTACAAAGCTCTCCTGTCTACTGTTAAACCCTCGTTATGATCATAATATCCTTTCATCCCCTTATGTTGCACAGTAATCTGCTGCTGATAGACAGAGTGATGCCTTTTCCTCTCATTGGCCCAAAGAACATGTTCCAATAATTTGGTAATGTTTGTCTGACTCTGCATCTCCCTTTCAGTTGTGGTCACTGCAAAGTCCTGCAGTTACTGCACTCAACAAGAGACCCCTTTGGCTTTAAAGCTAATGACAGTCAGACAGTTTGAGGAGTGTCCTCACTAATCAATGTGCCATTGGTTTAAACACAGCTGAGACTCCATCTTTAGATCCTTTCACATCCAATGGGAGAGAATGGAGGATATTTGGCCTTATCTGCTATTGCATGGAACAGAGAACATCGTTTTTACTTTGTAGTTTATCTTTGGTTGTCACAGAACAAGGTTTTAGAAACATCAACAACTAAAAACAAAAGTTACAAATAAAAAAAGAAATAATAATAAATAAAAAATGCAAAGTGGTTGGTTGCAGTCTTTAAGAAGTCATGTTTGTGAGTCTTTGTATGAGCCTGTTTCATATCATAAACCAAACCTAGGATCAAGCCCATTTGTGTTCAGCCTCACAGCCTCAGCATCAATCCCATCCACCCTATTGCAGGGCCTACATCACTACTCTGACTTAGTCATTGGGTTCTGCTGATGTTGACCCTGAACAGTACCCAGATCATCAGTTACCTTGTGGTGTGTGGGCGTAAACATGGCTGCCAATACTGGAATTAAATAATGATCAGGCCTAATTGCCAGTCTTGGGATTATCCCTAAATTAAGAACATTCATATTTCATCTGATATGTGTAATTATTAATAATCACAAAAGAAATTGAGAGCCAACTGGTCATGCATATGGTAAAAAAAATCACTTTGATATCTTCAAGCAAGGCCAAACAATCGTTCCATGATTGAAATTACAGTGTGGAAAACTAGACATGTTTAATCTACAATGACAGTTGTGTTCAGGAATCACAATTAGTTGGTCTAAAATATTATGATTGTACTGCACACCTCACATTTCATTTTCTTTCTAAAACCGGGAGCTTGCGAATGATCAGAAATTTGGTTGCAGCTAACGCACTGCCGTGAAGGGCTGTTTTAAAATATAATTTCATGAGGATAAATCATAACCTGCATGATTTCTCTGTCATTCATCCCCATCTTACATTAAACTTCATTGATGCGTGGAGAGAGCCTTCATTACGAGTAGTGCATTGCAGATGGACTTCATGAGCTTGGGGGGTTGGGGTGGGGATGGACTACATGTCAGAGAGGTGGCATTCTGAAGCATGTGGAATAAATGACAGAAAAATACTACTTGGTATTTGACATTCTGCTTCATGTAAAAAAATGAGGAAACAACAAGAAAGGAACTCCTAAACATCCATCATTAAATGCTGACCATACAGAATCTCCACAGCATGGGCATGAGGTCTGACCAGTTAAAGAAATCAAATGCAACAACAACAGCAATGAACAATGAAAAATACATAGTTTACATTTTAAACCCCTCACCCTCAAAACACACCAAAAAACATCCCTCCCACCCTAGATGGAAGCAAACCAATTAAGTTTTGAAGGCAGTGACCATGAACTAAATCCACACTCACACACACACACACACACACACACACACACACACACACACACAGAGAGACACACACACACACACACACAGTGTAAATTAAACGCCATTCAATATCTCTTGAGTTTATGGGCATGTGTGTGTGTTTGTGTGTGTGTGTGAGAGAGAGAGAGAGAGAACCGCTCTGCAGTCCGTGCTCAGTGTGGTTGAATGCAATCCATACGGCTGCACAGTGCAGGTCCAAGTCCATACTGGATTTGAAGCTAGCACGCTGACCAAGAAGAAGTCCCCAGTACCAAACATGTCCATCCAACGCATGTTGAGTAGAAATTACTTTTTTTTCTTATTTTCGCTCACTTAAACCAAACAGTAGATATAAATCAAAAATACTCCCATGTGGGACGTATTCTCTTTCTTTTGTTTTTCACTATGTATTTAATGGCACTAAAAGTCAATTGGAAACATTTGATAGCTGTGATCAGAGGACTGAGACTGCAGTCTTGTATCTGTGTTATCTGTGACGTTGTGGCGTCTCACAGATGACTAAGGTTAGTTCTGCCTCTGGGAGAGGCCCCTGGGGGCCCGACCTTACAGCATGTCATCGTGGCCCTGGTCGTCATCGTAATCTCTGTGGTGATCGAAATCTGGACTGTGGTTGGCCGTCGTCACCAGGGAGAGGGGGCCTTCGTGGTCCTCTGGGTCCAGCGGTTCCTCTTTAATGTGATGCCTGCATGGAAACAGAACACAAACAGACAGTGGATGTTCCATTTAGTTTATCTTTAGCTGGTTAAACCCTTGTTGAACCTTTCATTCCCTCCTCAAAAGAGAACCACAGACATGTATTGATTCAGATTTAAAAGAGAAATGAGGAACAAAAACAAATGAGTGGCTCTAATGAATCTCTGAGAGGGGCCTCTCTGGGCTGGTGTTGATGACAACTTCACCTTCTTTTAAGGTATTCCAATCCCGGAAAACCTGCAGGCTTTATTTTCATAGCAGCCGACAACAGGGTATTCACTTAGAATTGATAAATGAGGAAGATTAACAACGTGCGACGGGGGAGAGAGGAGAATGGACTCTGTGGAGGGAGAGAGTGGGCTGTTGTCAACTTCCTGGTGGCGGTGGATCAGTGACAGCGAGCGCTGTGTGTTCCTCTTCCTTCTCGTTAACATGCATAACCTGCGAGGCGGGTCTCCAGAGGACGACCCCGAGCCGGCTTCTATCATTAATCAACTTCAAGCAAACACAGCGACCAGACACCACTATACATGCTTTAAACTCCAAAATTAATGCATATTTTCACCAAGTGTCAATAATGGAAGAAAAGCGCTGGCAGGAAGGCGCGCGAGCAGAGCAGAAAGGCACACTCAACACAACATTGTGATAAGAAAGAGAGCCATGAGAATAATAACGCTGTCAGTTGTAAACAAGGCAAAACATGAACCCAGCCCACTGCCTGGGCAAAGGGGGCTCTAAAGAGACGAGATCTGCCAAATTTCTCATTACAGAAACACCGCAGGAATAAAGCGCATGGGAAGGAGGCATGAATAGAGCAGAGAGGAGGGAAAAAATTAAAACATTATGAGAAGCTGCAGGATATTTCCCATTCTAACCTGTGGTGCCAACACTGTGCTGTACGGGAGTTTGTGTGGTGTCAGTACGAGACGCTGAGCCCATTTTGAACAGTGACCAGGGACAAGCATGTTCTCTGTCCCCCCAGACTCATTTGATTTATTTATGCACAAATGTCTTACGTGATATGCAATTTTTTTGATGGAGACGTTTCTATGCTAATGAGCTGACACATTTACTGTAGGTGTGATTATAAAACAGGGGAAAAAGTAAAGTAGGCTTTTCTATTGGTTTCAGATCAAAGTAACTTCACAAGTCACATCGCCTCAGGTCTCAATCCCTGGCTGCAGGGCAAACATGAAATTGTTATTATTATGCTATTGAACTGCATGCTGACTCCACACTGCTAATTAGCTGGCTGGGTCTGGATACCTGATTATAGTCAGCCTGTAAAAGAGAACAGCCCTAGTTTCCTCTCTGTAGTAAAAACCTAACTCCATCTAACACCATGCAGGGCTTTGAGCTAGGCAGCTGGTAAACACATGTACGGCCTGGGCCACTACATAGCCAATTTGTAAGTCGCTCTGGATAAGAGCGTCTGCTAAATGACGTAAATGTAAATGTAAATAGCCAGTCTGTTGTCTGTACGCCAGGTGAAGACCTGTGAGACGTTGGGTCTATGAGCCAGGTTTGGTTTGTGTGGGATGAGGATGTTGTGATTCTGTAGCTTGGGTGAGGTGTGTCTCTTGGAGAATGGAGAGAAAAGAGGGAGCTGGCTTTAGAGCGATAGAGGTGCTAGCAAGTAAACCTGAACTTTTGTTTGAAGGCGTGCTGTTTCATAGAAGATAGAAGAAATGTGGCTTTGCGCGAATACACTGAAGTTGAATGCTCTGATGCATTTTGTACTCATATAAAGCTTATCCACATACAGTCATTGTGAAAAAGCTCAGTAAATGAGCTTCATCAGCCTCAAGATAAAGAGAGGGAGAGAGAGAGAGAGAGAGAGAGAGAGAGAGAGGAGACAGCCTTTGGGCCAGCACACCCATCCTGTCTCTGCCTTTCCTGTTCCAGAGCGATGCCCAAAGCTATGTTCACAGTGATTAGGGATGGCACTTTCCTCCATTTCGCCACAAGCTCATTACTGCACCTTTATGTTTTCAGGCATAATTTCCCTCTAGCTCAGACATTTTATGGGGCCATCCCTAAATCTAGCAGAGCTGCACATCGGTGGTCTGCCCCACATCTGGAAACGATGCTGCCTGCCCCGTATTATTTTAGGCTTCAAACAACACAGCAGACAGTGCTATACAACAAGTGAATAGGGAACTGCGGTTTCCAGGCAGACCACCGTTTTCCTACATGGGAATCTTGGACTATTTCTCCTAGACTAATTATGATTTTTTGTTGTTTTTCTTTAGACGGCTGAGAGGGATTTGAATGTGTTCTAACTCGTATTTCAGTGTGGAGGAGACATCAGCTCTGTCACTTTGCGTTCTGGCATTTTGTAAATATTGTAAAAGAATTGGAGGGGTGATTATGGCGGGACTCAGCAGACAGTAGGACACATTTTTTAACCGTAATAAAGGAGAGTTTATAAACTTTGTGTTGATATAACAGAGGGCTCCAGTCTTTTCTTCCTGGCCTTGCCTGGCTTTAGAACCTTCTAGAAGGTGGAGTTTCCTTTTTCAGGGAAGGCCCGGTTCTGACCTTTCATACAACCGCGCCAATATCATCCTCTCTTTATATATATTTTTATCCATTTTAGCATTGTTTCATGTTCCTTTAATATGTTATTTACATGTAATATCCAATTCTAAGGCATTTTGGGGGATATTAAAATGCTAGATAAAAAAATGTGTTTGCTCAAATCCATTCTATTTGGGATCTATTTGAATCAGTGGAGACCAGCTGAAACTCATTCCTTCCCTTCAGTCTTAAACAGATTACTGTAAATAGAAAGTAAGGAGCCACTCACATAGCTGGCAAAGGAGAGCGTCCTGGACTGCTGTCACTGCCGTTGCTGTTTCCATGGTCCATCGCTCCAATCATCTCCTCTCGGATGGCATTCGCCAGGGAGTTGAGGGTAGGACTTCCAATGGAAGCAGTAGTGTATAGAGGTATATTGTTTTCTGCCATTGAAGCCTGAAAAGCATGCACAGTGTTAAAACAGAGAAACGGAAGAGAACTGTCAGCACTTTTCAGCTTCCCTCCATCCCTCCTGCCTTTCTTTCCCCTCACAGTAAAAGGGTAAAAGGTCAAGAGAGCTTGATACTGAGACAGTATTCATATTTACCTGGAAGGCTGCAGAGAGAGCCGGACCATAGCCCAAGCTGGTCTGGATGTTTTTCACTAAGGCTGGACTTCTGCAGACAACAACTTTAGTTTAGAAAATGCTCATATTTCATTTAATAAAATGGTAATTTTATCACACACCAAAAACACAGAGATTCATTTCAATTCATTGTTTTCATTGTAAGGAAGACAAGACAAGTTGATGGAAGGAGGTTTTTTTAAACTCATGAAAAGGAAGCGCTAAACACAGAGACATGATGGGAACACAGAGGCAGAGCATGCAGGTAGTAGGGGGGTGAAGGTCTGGGGGGAGCTGGGGCTCAGGAGGCGGGGTGGGCCAGGCAGAAGTTCTTACTGTACTAGCAGCTCATCAAAGTTCTCAACAGCGGTGTATTTCCGAGGTCGGCCTCGCTGTATATGGCGGCCGCGTTTAAACTCGTCCTCTACTCTCACAAAGCACTTATGCAGGGAAAGGTTGGTGCGACTGGTACCCTGGGCGGGAGACAAGTAGCAGGGCAGCCAGATGCAGATGCAATGACCACAACACAACAGCACAAAGGACAGACAGACACAGGGACAGACAGATAGACACAGGGACAGACACAGGGACAGACAGACATATAGACACAGGGACACGCAGATAGACACAGGGACAGGCAGACAGACACAGGGACAGACAGAGAGATAGACACAGGGACAGACAGACAGACAGATAGACACAGGGCTGACAGACAGACAGACAGATAGACACAGGGACAGACAGACATACACATGGACAGACAGGGGGACAAGGGAGGAAAGGGTGAGGATCAAAATGAAAACCAGTACAAGCCAATGTTGGTTATGATGCGACACCAGGGGCAGAATACTGAAAGCATGGGGGATGCTGCACACCAAAGCAAGCGGGGACTTTGGGGGGCTTCGTGGGACACAGACAATGAGATGGAGCAGCCTCTTCCCATAGAGCCACAACCAGCCAGACGTGAGAGTTGGCCAGAGATGTCAGACCTACCCAGTGATCTTTTGTGGCCTTCTCTTTTGGAACTCTAGTTCATCCACTGTCCACACAGCCCCTTTAACGTTTTCTACTCGCACAAAACACTTGTGAAGACTAAGATTATGCCGGACTGCGTTCTGCAGTTGGTGTAAAAAAAAGAAGGGAGAGAAGAATTATATCAACACAGGAAAATGTCTAATCATTTCATTTCAGAGAAGAAACATATAGACAGGCACATACATGACATAACCTGGACATCATTGTACATTTTTTCAAGTATCAGTGATCTGTCGGCTGTAAAGTTTAAAATGAGAAAAACACTGTGGAAATATTTTCCAGTTACTATGGCAATACAGTTTCATTTAATCAACATCCTTTAAAAATATCATTCACAGAGCCTTAAATTATGATGAGCCATTTGAAAAGAGCCACTAAGACCTTGAAAACAAAAACCCAGACTGAACAAAGACCTTGATCAAATAAACCAGTCTCTTTGGCTTGTCAGTTTCAGTTATGACCTTACCTACAATTGAACAATAAGGGAGAAGACACATTTCCAAAAGCTTTAGCTGTTGGCTTACATTATAAGCTTTTTCATAAGACCATTTGTAGAGTATGCGGGTTACCTTTTTTAAATAAACCAATCACTGACACATGAGATTAGAACTCTGTAAATGTATTGGACCTTATTGAGTGTTTGTGTGAACTCTAGTGTATACAGTAGGTGTGTGTGTGTGTGTGTGCACGCACGCCAATATGCAGGAGTGTGTCACAGTGTTGGATTTTTGTTTATAACTCAAATGTGCCCCTATGGTCAGGCTGTCAGCGGCAGGGGAAGCAGGCAGTTAGAGAGCTGAGGGAGGACAGTGAGCCATGGAGGGGGGCTAGGGGGTCTCACTCACAGCTGCACTGTGGATACGCTACACTACAGGCCCTCTCTGCCTTATGAGGGTAGCCTTCAATGCTTCATCACTCTCTCTCTTCTCTTACTCCTTCTCTCCTTCTCCTTTTTGTCTGCCCTCTCGTTTTAACCCCTCTATTTTTCTCTGGGGTTTGTCTGCCTGTGTGTGTGTGGCCCAGAGGAAAATAAATAAGGTGTTCTCAGTTTAAGTTCTGTGGGAGGGTCTCGGCCAGGAGTCCCTGGCAGCACATTGGTGTGTTAAACCCATGCCACCCACCACCAAAACATCTCCAAATATTAGCTGGGGATTTTTTACAAGAATGCACATTTTCCCTCATCATTTTTCTGTGAGGTAACAGACAGTGTTTGTGTTAGGAGTGGCTCTATTTGGATAGAATAAATGGGGCAAGGTCATGAATTGGGTTATGGCTCATTCATTGCATTTAAACTTGATATATTTGACTATCTTTTACACTGAACAAAAATATAACCGCAACATGTTAAATGTTGGTCCCATGTTTCATGAGCTGAAATAAAAAATCCCTGAAATCTTCCATACGCACAAAAAGCTTATTTCTCTCAAACTTGATGCACACATTTGTTTATATCCCTGTTAGTGAGCTTCTCTCCTTTGCCAAGATAATCCATCCACCTGACAGGTGTGGCATATCAAGAAGCTGATTAAACAGCATGATCATTACACAGGTGCACCTTGTGCTGGGGACAATAAAAGGCCACTTTAAAATGTGCAGTTTTGTCGCACAACACAATGCCACAGATGTCTCAAGTTTTGAGGGCGCGTGTAATTGGCATGCTGACTGCAGGAATGTCCACCAGAGCTGTTGCCAGATAATTTAATGTTAATTTCTTTACCATAAGCTGCCTGCAACGTCGTTTTATAGAGTCCCTGGCAGCACATTGGTGTGTTAAACCCATGCCACCCACCACCAAAACATCTCCAAATATAGCTGGGGATTTTTTACAAGAATGCACATTTTCCCTCATCATTTTTCTGTGAGGTAACAGACAGTGTTTGTGTTAGGAGTGGCTCTATTTGGATAGAATAAATGGGGCAAGGTTATGAATTGGGTTATGGCTCATTCATTGCATTTAAACTTGATATATTTGACTATCTTTTACACTGAACAAAAATATAACCGCAACATGTTAAATGTTGCTCCCATGTTTCATGAGCTGAAATAAAAAATCCCTGAAATCTTCCATACGCACAAAAAGCTTATTTCTCTCAAATTTGATGCACACATTTGTTTATATCCCTGTTAGTGAGCTTCTCTCATTTGCCAAGATAATCCATCCACCTGACAGGTGTGGCATATCAAGAAGCTGATTAAACAGCATGATCATTACACAGGTGCACCTCCTTGTGCTGGGGACAATAAAAGGCCACTTTAAAATGTGCAGTTTTGTCGCACAACACAATGCCACAGATGTCTCAAGTTTTGAGGGCGCGTGTAATTGGCATGCTGACTGCAGGAATGTCCACCAGAGCTGTTGCCAGATAATTTAATGTTAATTTCTTTACCATAAGCTGCCTGCAACGTCGTTTTATAGAATTAGGCAGTGCGTCAAACCGGCCTCACAACCGCAGACCACGTGTAACCACGCTAGGCCAGGACCTCCACATCCAGCTTCTTCACCTTTGGGATCGTCTGAGGGGGGGGGGGGAATAAAGCCCTTTTGTGGGGAAAAACTCATTCTGATTGGCTGGGGCTGACTGCCAAGTGTGTGGGCCTATGCCCTCCCAGGCCCACCCATTGCTGCAGCCCTGCCCAGTCATGTGAAATCCATAGATTAGGGCCTAATGAATTTATTTCAAGTGACTGATTTCCTTATATGAACTGTAACTCAGTAAAATCTTTGAAATTGTTGCTTGTTGCGTTTATATTTTTGTTCAGTATAACTCCACAAGATCAACACAACAGTCCCTGCCCTTTATATTTGTCTAAGGAAGTCAAAGTGAAGACTGATTTTACCTTCCATGTTGCAGCGTTGCGCCTGAAATATGCAAACATTCGTGTGAACCAGTTGTAAATTTCATTTAGTGTTAGCTGCTTTTCCGGTGATTCAAGGATACCCTGGAAAAGACCAAGAGACAGAAACAACATTCAACATTTTGTTCCCTCTGAAAAAAAATCTGTTATTCACAAGTGGCATGCAGGTTGTGTGTGCTCTCCTGAAAGAACACAGACAACAGTGCATGGTCTGTCCATGTGATTATGTGCACGATCTGTACCCTCTCGCTTTGTTTAAGGAACTGTCTGGTTCCCTTTCAAATCTCGCAATTTGAATATATTTATATTGGCAGTGTAAATTGTGGGAAGCGAAAATATTTCTCAGGCAGATTACAGGCCAGCAATTATGCCAGGCTCAGATTAATTCCTGAGATCACAGATTACTGCGAGCCGGCCGATAATTGACTGGCCATCTTAGAACAGGTTCATCCCTACTGTTGTGTGAAATGAATTTCATAATCACATCCACCGTAATGCTTAATCAAAAGCAATTGTTATATATGGCTGTTTTTGGAGTCCCGAGCGCATTCTTGCACTCATTTGCAGATGGTTAATCTTCCGCTGCACGTCTAAATTGTATTTGAAATTTAACAAGGCAGGATAGAGAAAATATAAGCAGTTTGTGTCTTGGCTGAATATGTATCTGCTGTCCTGTTAATGACGGAAGCCACTGAAGCAGATTAAAGGCCCTATTCCTTTAAGTGACAGATTAAATGCATTACAAGTTACCAGCCCAGAGCAGAGCCAGCCGAGCAGAGGATCCTTACCTGGCGTATTAATGAGGCATACGTGAAGGGAGGTCTGACTTCAGCATTCATGTAGAACTCTTTGTTCTGGACAATATCTGTACAAAGGGAGCAAACACAACATACAGACGAACATAGACAAAAGCCATAGTCAGTAGCTATTATAGATACAACATTTCCATTTGCAGTCTGATAGATTTGAAATTGGATGTGTGTGTGTGTGTGTGTGTGTGTGTGTGGGCTATATGTGTCCAGTACCTGGGGAGTTTGGCATGTTGTACTTGTCAGAGTAGCGCCGGCGCATGGGGCCCACACTGTGGTGGAGGCTGTTGGGGGTGATGACGGAGTGGGCCTGGGACAGGGGCGTCAGGGGGGCCGTGGGGGTGGTGGGGGTCTGGGGCAGGCTCAGGGGGGGCGAGGCCTCAGGGGGGGCTGTCTTGGACAGGGTGACGCTGGACACCAGGTTGAGCTGGGAGGGAGGGTAAACAAAACAAAACACAACACAGACAGACAGACAAGAGCTCGTTAATTACCCAGCGTCTCAAGACACCTCATTGGCTAGGCTGATCACAGCTTTAATTATGGGCCACCCTGAGGATGATCCGTGAACGTTCGTTAAACATCCTGCTCATTCTCTCTCCTACCCTCCTCCTCCATCCTTCACTTCTTCCACCTCCTCCTCATGGATCTCTCTCCTCTCCTCCTCCTTCCCTAACAGCTCAGCTCCCTGTTCTCTGTTTTCCTCCCTTTGTTTGATCTGCTGGCAGATCACACCCACACACTTCAACCAATCCCGCCCCCCCGCTGGGAGACTGGCAAGGGTGAGGGGAGATGGGCGGCACTAACAGCCCTGACAAAAGACAGTGAGATTCTCACCTGCCGCTGAGCAACCACTAATAAGCCACGTAGAGAAAGCAGACAATCTGGACTAATTACAAGCTGAAATTGTATTGTAAGGACTCTAATTAGGAGATGCTTATGGAGGTGATGTGATGATTAAATGCTGTATCTAAATGACCCCATCATCAGGGCTGGCTGGCGCAAGATGGCTCTGGAATATTTTGTAGACAGGGGGAGAGAGAGGGGTTGCTGTTCTTTCGAGGGGTGGGGTGTGAGGAGGGAGTGGGGAGAGATATTAGTAATAATGGCTACAAGGTAAACTAATTAAGCCAAGTGTTCCAAAGGTATACCATGGCTTCCAGCAGCTGTGGCTGCTTCCAAACACTGCCAAGCCTCCACAGTGGAGCAGCAGTCAAGTGGAAAATTCTAGCCTGACCCCTTGCTCCAGTTATTAATTTGCAGGAATACTAATGACACATATACATATTCCCACAAAATTGTTCTAATTGCTAATTTGCCGAAGGAGGCCAGTTTCCAAATTAAACACCACTTCAGTCTAGGAGGAAAGAGGGGAGGAAAAAACTGAGAGAGAGAAAGAGAGAGAGAAAGAGAGAGAGAAAGAGAGAGAGTGGGCAGGAGGCGTCTCCTCTTTGACAATCATTTCTGAATTGTGTTAACAAATTAATGAAATGTCAAGGCTGTCAATTGCTTTGAAGGTATCAGATGTCTAATTTTTGCTGATAATGGTTGTGGGTGACAGTGGTGACACAGGGAAGACGGGGGGCTTGCAGGTGAAAGTGAACAGACAGTGTTTAACATCTCAGCCCTCATCACATGGATCCTCCACGGCCACACAATGACCACAACCCTATTAGCAGTCATTACCATTGAGATGGCCCCATATGATAGACAGGTATATAATAAAGAAATCTGAGGCTAGCTGCATGGCTGGCACCACTGCTTAATTCATCCTTGACATGGCATTGACTTAACCAGGTTATGGCTAGTGTGATTTTTTAAATTAATTGTATATTTTGTATTTGTAATGATTTGCAATGCTAAAACAAAGGAATTGTGTATGTTTTTTTCTGCACCAATAGACATTTACATTTTAGTCATTTAGCAGACGCTCTTATCCAGAGCGACTTACAGTTAGTGAATACATATTTTTTTATACTGGCCCCCCGTGGGAATCGAACCCACAACCCTGGCGTTGCAAACGCCATGCTCTATCAACTGAGCTACATCCCTGCCGGCCATTCCCTCCCCTACCCTGGACGACGCTGGGCCAATTGTGCGCCGCCCATGAGTCTCCCGGTCGCGGCCGGCGGCGACAGAGCCTGGATTCGAACCAGGATCTCTAGTGGCACAGTTAGCACTGCGATGCAGTGCCTTAGACCACTGCGCCACTCAGTATATAGAGAGACATGTAATGTTTATTTACAATTCTGAGGCTGGAATATGCCTTTTGGCAGAGTTCTACGCAAATACATGTAGGATCTTAATTTGATCACCCTGTTATAGGAGAACTTTCCTGCAATGCAAAATGTAAAACTTGTAGTGTATTTAAAAAAGCCTCTGAAGTTTGTAATATCCACTTTCAAATTTCAGACTTGATCAATCCTGCAAAAATGTCTATTAATTATAATCCACATAATAATTCACATTTCCTGTTGCTGCAGGATTAATTTGGGCAAACTGGCTGAAATTAAGATCCTACATCTGTAATGTGTTACACAAATACTGAAAGCACATGAATGTATACTGTAAATTCACTACTGTACGAGTGTGTTATTCTAAATCAAGAGCCAAATAAATCACACTTGGGTTTATTGTTTTCTGACACAATACTATCAATAGACTGGACGTCTGACTTATTTTCCTGTTGATTAGCAGTCTTTGTTTCATGTTTCATCCATATTCCCCAGCCATAAACAGTGAGTGGCCCTCAACAATAGGCCAGACAGCCTGGTAATAGCCTTTCTTTCCCTCAGCATTTGGGCTCACTCCAGTGCAGAGACAAAATTAGACTTCACACAGAAATTAATTAAATGGTAATGGGTGATCTAATTATACTGGCTTTGATTCGCCAAGCTGCTAAAGAAAATAAACAAAAATTCCCTCCTTAATTTTAATTATGTACTGCAAAAAGGTCAGATTTCTGACAAGAATGCTTAGTGACACCAACTACAGACACACAATCACACAACCACACAATGACAACCACAAACACATACGCATCGCGCGCACCAAACACGCACGCTCACACACTGTTTATGCGCTGTATTCTGTCTTTATATATTTTTCCAAACAAGCTCAAAGGAATACATTCAATCATATTCAGTTGACACTGTGTATGTACAGTATATGCTTGTTATGTATTTAATTAGGACTAACTGTTAATTAGCCTATTTATGTAGGAAGTGTACTGTATGACGTGTGCTGTAGATACACTACATGCCCAAAGTATGTGGACACCTGCTCGTCGAACATCTCATTCCAAAATCATGGGCATTAATATGGAGTTGGTCCCCCCTTTGCTGCTATAACAGCCTCCACTCTTCTGGGAAGGCTTTCCACTAGATGTTGGAACAATGCTGTGGGGACTAGCTTCCATTCAGCCACAAGAGCATTAGTGAGCTCGGGCACTGATGTTGGGCGATTAGGCTTGGCTTGCAGTCGGCCTTCCAATTCATCCCAAAGTGTTCAATGGGGTTGAGGTCAGGGCTTGTGCAGGCCAGTCAAGTTCATCCGCACCGATCTCGACAAACCATTTCTGTATGGACCTCGCTTTGTGCATGGGGGCATTGTCATGAAAGGTCCTTCCCCAAACTGTTACCACAAAGTTGGAAGCACAGAATCGTCTAGAATGTAATTGTATGTTGTAGCGTTAAGATTTCCCTTCACTGGAACTAAGGGGCCTAGACCGAACCATGAAAAACAGCCCCAGACCATTATTCCTCCTCCACCAAACTTTATAGTTCGCACTATGCATTCGGCAGGTAGTGTTCTCCAGGCATCCGCCAAAACCAGATTCGTCTGTCGTACTGCCAGATGGTGAAGTGTGATTTATCACTCCAGACTAGGGGCTTCCACTGCTCCAGAGTCCAATGGCGGCGAGCTTTACACCACTCCAGCCGACGCTTGGCATTGCGCATGGTGATCTTAGGCTTGTGTGAAGCTGCTCTGGCATGGAAACCCCTTTCATGAAGCTCCCGATGAACAGTTCTTGTGCTGACGTTGCTTCCAGAGGCAGTTTGGAACTCGGCAGTGAGTGTTGCAACCAGGGACAGACGATCAGCACTCAGCGGTCCCGTTCTGTGAGCTTGTGTGGCCTACCACTTCGCGGCTGAGCCGTTGCTCCTAGACGTTTACTCTTCAAAATAATAGCACTTACAGCAGCTCTAAGAAGGCAAAAATTTGAAAAACTGACTTGTTGGAAAGGTGGCATCCTATGACGGTGCCAAATTGAAAGTCACTGAGCTCTTCAGTAAGGCCACTCTACTGCCATTTGACTGCATGGCTGTGTGCTCGATTTTATATACCTGTCAGCAACGGGTGTGGCTGAAATAGCCAACTCCACTAATTTGAAGGGGTCTTCACATACCTTTGTATATATATATATATGTATGTGCTCCTTATCAATCAATGGAAACTGGTATTGTTCCTAAAGATTTGAAAACTGCCAAAGCTATCCCCCTCTATAAATCTGCGGATCCAAGATCCGCACTTCCCATTATTTTTGCTGATGATACCAACTTCATTTTATTACACAATAATTTTTATTCACTAATCAATGAAGCCAACTCAGGAATGGCCAAGTTTTCTGAATGGTTCCAGATAAACAAATTATCTTTAAATGTAAAAAATAAATTAACTTCATTGTATTCACTGGTAAAAATAAGAAATATTGTTTTTAAAAAATGCCAGAATCTCAATTGGTGGGAATGGAATGGACCGGGTTTCATTCACTAGATTCCTAGGTGATCTAGTTGATGAAAAGTTGTCCTGTAAAGATCACATTCACTTTGTCTGCAGCAAAGTGGTGAAGTCCGTTGGTATCATCAGAAAGATTAGTGGTTTGGTTCATCAGGCTCGCTTCCTAACACTATACTACAGCTACATTTACCCATATCTCATTTACTGCAATATTGTCTGGGCCAATACATATGTTTCCTACCTACACAAATTACTCATCACACAGAAGACATTTGGCACCTCATCTAACTACTTGGATCCATCTGCCCCTCTGTTTAAGAGACTCAATATATTGTCTATCTACAACATTAATATACTTATGCACCTTCATCTACAAATACACATACCTCCCAGACAGCCTACCTAGGGTTGGGCAGTATCCAGATTTCCATACCTTCATACCGTGCCTGTGCCATCCCGGGATACATGGCATTACCGATAGTGCACACAGGGGGCGCTATTTCATTTTTTCAAATGTAAAAAAAGCCCCAAAAATGTCACTTACCAGAATGCTAACAAAATGTTAACAAGTACAAAGGAATTCTCATAGCGGAAGCTAGGTAAATGCTAACGAGTGGATGCATTTACTACTAGGACAGACAACCCAGCTCATAAAGTTATGCAAGTATCTCAAAACGCAGTTTGCAGCACACATAAAACAAATATTAGGCAGCAGGGATCTTAATCCAGGAGGGGATTGTCTCTGCTGCTGTTACCAAGCAGCTTGATCTTGCAAGGTAGCAAAAGAAAATGTATTTTGCACATCTTAGATAGTTAATTTAATAGTTATAAGATATATAGCTGGCAAACATTAGTAGTGAATTTCATACAAGTGTAACTTGATCACCTCACTTAAGTTGGGTTGCAGGAGTGACTCGCCTCACAAAGCTCCCATTTTGCTTGTTGTGCTTCTTTGTAAACAAACACCCGTGACTGGCTCAAACCGCTGTTTTGGGAAACTAGTTCCAGTAAGCTTCATAATGAAAAAGCTATATAATGAAAATGTATCTAACGGGCGAAATGATGAACGCGATCTGCTTTATCTATTACTTAGTGCACAAGATGACTGCAGGTATTTATTTAAAAAGTACTAATATTCAAAGCCCAAAAAACGTCACTTACCAGAACGCTAACAAAATGCTAACAAGTACTAAGGAATCCTCATAGAGAATGCTAACTAAATGCTAACGAGCTTAACTTGTATAGTTTCTGACCTAAACTATACAAGTATACAAGTAAATAGCTAGCTAGCTACTAAATTAGCAAACCAAATGCACAACTGCAGAGCATTTAGCTAATTTTAGCCAGTTAACTTAATAGTTATAAGATATCTAGCTGGCAAACATTTAGTTGTGAATTTCATACTGTAATTAGATCACCTGGCGCATGCTGCATGACAGTGAGTGACTCACAAGGCTCCGGTCTCTGGTCATTGTGTGCTTGTAAACAAACACCACGTGACACGTGAATGGGGACTACCGTAAACGACATAATAATGTGACAGATGAAATGAAGAAAGCAATGTTCTTTATCTCCTAACCTATTGCACAAGTTGACTGCAGGTATTTACTTAAAAAGTAGCTACAAATATTCAAAAACCATTCCGTGGCTTTTCCCAAATACCCCGGTATACGGTATATACAGTATAACGCCCAAGCCAAAACCTACTTAAACCCTTCAATGGATTCTTCCAGGTTAATTCCCAAACCCATGCATACAACACAAGACACAGCAATAACCTTCACCCTCCCCACTGCCACACCTCACATAGTCAATTCTCTAGCAGATACAGAGGTTCCATACTCTGGAATTCCTATCTTCACATTGCCAAAACATCATCATCATCCCTCAATAACATCAAGCGAAGACTGGGAGTCCGCCTGATGAACCAAACTACCCAGTAGTATCCTCCATGTAGCCTAACTCTCACACTCACACACACACACACGTTTTTTGTATACTTACTATATAATGTAATTTATTATTAGTATGCTCTGTTGAACTGATTAAACAAACTTTTTTTGTACTTATATTTGTATATTCGTTTTTTGGGGTGTGGTTTTCATATCAGCCCTTTTGGGTTTCCAACCTCACCTGCACACTGTTTTTATCTGTAATGTTTTGTCTTTCACTTGCTGTCTTTGGTGCGAATAAATTAGACATTCATTTCTGAACAGTCTATAGTCTAAAGCCTGGTGTAACTCAATCTATAGTCTAAAGCCTGGTGTAACTCAGTCTATAGTCTAAAGGCTGTAGTAACTCAGTCTATAGTCTAAAGCCTGGTGTAACTCAGTCTATAGTCTAAAGCCTGGTGTAACTCAGTCTATAGTCTAAAGCCTGGTCTAACTCAGTCTATAGTCTAAACCCTGGTCTAACTCAGAGGGCATCTCTAGTTCTAGTCTAACTGAGAGCTCCAGCTGAGACTCAGGCCCTGACCTGTGGATTCCCCCACTGACCCAGCCACCGAGCCACACCATGGCTAGACACATTTATCATAGCCTATCATAGCAGCTACTAGCATGCACTGCACTGCCGTTGGACACGGCTGGGAGTTGATTTTTCTATAAAAGCAGTGTCACCCCCAGAGCTTTAACACAGAGCCTTGACACAGGGGAGAGGAGAAGTAGAGAAGTCAAGATGCTATCTGCTGCCCTAGCCACTTTTCACCTACAAATGTCCCTGTGTCAGGCCCTCATTCCGAAGCCTAATCTACACAATCAGTGTGTGTGACAGAGGCAAAGCTCCAACAGGCAGCCTATTGTCACTCTACATCTCCAGGAGCATTATGTTGACTGCCTGCCTGACTGCCTGACTGCCTGACTGCCTTCCTGTGCTGTGTGGAGCGCCGTACAGAGACTGACTGGAAATAAATGATTGTGGCTTTGGAAGGAACTCGTCAGAGGAGAGGGCCTCTGCGTTTGTGTGTGTGTGTGTGCCGCTGTGTTCAGCCCCACAGTTTATTGGCCCTCATGCTTTAGGCACTATGAGTGAACTGTCACAATGACTGAACCATGGTAATGGGGTTCCTTCTAAAACATGACAAAATAGCAGCTATATGTACACTGTATGTTAAGTGGCACAGCCTATAAGATAAGGATTAAACAGTAAGTTACATGGTATGATGACATATAGGGACGGTGTTATGGTCCGATGAATGTGGCAAGATAAGGAATTGAACAGCCATTAATTTGAGAGACATGTATTTCTGAAGCTTATTTGGTGGAATCAACAGTATGCTATGTTCACAACAAATTGAAGACGTTGAGGAGATGTTTCAATTAAAAGAAACATCTATTTAAAAAATATATATATATATATGCCATTTTGCAGACTCTTTTATCCAAAGCGACTTACAGTCATACATTTTACATATGGGTGGTACCGGGAATCGAACCCACTACCCCAGTGTTCCAAGTGCCATGCTCTACCAACTGAGCTACAAAGGACCATGCTACAGAGGTCTATGTTGTCTGCTCATACCAACACCAGTTCAGGCACTACTGAATACCATGTGCTCCGAGTTAATCATTAGAACAACATTTTATCTGGGATGTCAACATATGTGATCAAAACAATATTAATGGCTCCTCTCAAGTGAGCAGCTGCTTTTTTTAACAGATAAATAAAGAGATGAGGAAATAAATTAATAAATACATGTGAGGCAATTAGACAAATGAGAGAAGAAGATGAAGGAAAACAGGCACATGACAGAGCTGCTACTCACTGGCTGTGGGGTGGGTTTGGGCTCCGTGGATTTGACGTGGAGATGCGTCATCATGGCTTGCAGACGCTCTTTGTCTTTCGCTAGCTGTAATGAGAAGGAAAAAAACTAAATTCTTTATGAACAAAAATCAAATTCTCTGTAGTACAATCCAACACATTATGTTCTTTCTCACTGTTTGTCATATATCCAGTAGGAAGTAGTTTTATAATATTCTAGGCTGATGTGATGATAAACCTTTGTGTATTTTAATACCTTAGTCTTCATGCACGAGTCTACCTGGCGATGTCTCTTCTTCAAGGTTAAACTACAAATATTCTGTCTTAATTTGATCACTCTGTTGTCGCAGAGAATTTTCCCTAATGAAAAATGTATCAACCCCTACAAAAATTTAGATTAATTAGAATCCATATAATAGTTCACATTTCCTGTTGCTGCAGGATTATTTTCCTGAGAAACAGGTCAAATTACGATGGAATATCTGTATAATCTGTGTCCCATTGCCAATAACAAACGGGATCTGCCTGCATGTCCTAAACTGTCCTCTCTGTTTTACAGTAGCTGCCAGGTCAGATTACAGAGATTTGCTGGGTTAGGAGGAGGACGTGTCTGATAAATTCTCACTCTTTGAGTTGCGCTCAATGACACACAACCAGAGCGGAAATAACGAGTACGACGGTAGTGTGGTGTAATGCTTAAGGAACTGAAATTGTAACCTCATCGTTCAAGGTTAACATTCTGTTAATCATGATTGCTTTGTACCCTAAGTCTACTGTATACAGCACATAATCTGTTATACATAAACATGCCATTGGTTAGAATGCCTGCTTAGCAACAAAAAAATTGAAAAAAATAACAGTTAGTTAATGGCATGGTTTGTTGTGTCTATCTTTCAGTTGTAATAAAACATGTGCAAACCTTCCCCAGAGACACCCGACTCCAGCCTAGAAGGGAGGGTTTCATGGTGACCACTTAGAAAGTGTTCAAACCCACCTCTCCACAGACCCTTACCAACACACACTAATGGACCAACAGCGTACCATCCCTTTTTCCATAAGTGCATACTTAATGTACATTATACTTAATGTACATATTGTATGCATATTTCCCAGGGTCCCTCATAGGGAAGAAGTGCCTATCAGGCCACTCATACTGATGACTACATTAATATCTCTGATCACCGTTATTTGCGAGAAATATTTATATTTCTTTCTATTCCAATAAACCCAGTCGACACTGAGGAAGCCCATCGTTGTGTTTTATTGTTGGTGCCAAACAGTTAAAAGTAATAAATAACTTTAAAACCCAGTAAAATTCCAAATGTAATTATCTTCTCTACTTAGCCCCGGGGCCCTTCATATATCTTTGCCTGGCTGTCATGCATACATAACACATTTTTAATGACTGGTTACTCACAAATGTACAAAATAATTTCATTCTTCCACCCCCCTCCATGTGTGACCCATGGTTCATTTCTGCGAGATAAGGAGGGGGCAGTAGACGGAGGAAGTGTCAGGAAAGGAGCCACAAATGTTTGGGCGAAAACAAAACGGGAGACAATACCTGTAGTTCCAGCTGCTGTACAACCTGCATTTGTACCCGACACTGGGCTGTGCTCCTGTCGTCCAGGGCGTGCTCATTGTTGAGATGCCTGAGAAGAGAAAACAAAGCTTCTCAGCTCAGTGTGTCTTCACATGGTTAAACTGTAGCCTTTTATACAATTTGACACAAATCCTATCATGCTTTATGTGATTACGTGATCTAGTAATTTCTCTGTATGGGTACTGTGGGAATAACGTAGGAATGGCTGTTGTACAGACGTACATATAATAATGGGTAAATACTGTGCAGATCTAGAAGTATAAAACTACCCAAATATTACCAGGATTTGTATAACAATATCTGCATTACCCGAAAATGAATACTCCTTTAAGCAAAGAAGAACGGAATCCATATTTCATGAGGTGGCCATATCTGCTCAAACTTAACTTCATAGATAAGAAAAATGACTTAAGAATTTCAGGTTGGATTAATTTAGTAAATTATGCAGTGCTTCAGTGTGCACCCTTTCTCTTTAAAGATGGCACCATCCTTATCTGGTTGGCACATTCTCCTTATTTTGGTGTCTTTTTCAGTTAATTATGTCATAGAGATTTAGAGATCACAAATGAAGCCAGAAGGAAAGGTAAAGGACAACAAGAAGAAGATAGATGGAATCTGTCACAAACTTGAATTATGAATATAATTATGCATGATTATTTTATTCTGCAAAGATGTTCTCTTTTTCTGCACGCTTATAACTAATCTAAATAAGTAGCTTGCCCGGCAGCAGACAGGGTTTTTTCCGTGATTTATATAAAATGGTAGAGATAAGGTTCACGAGTGAAGGAAATATGATTGGAGGATTTTTATCAGCCTCCGCATGAATTACTGTTTGAAAATGCTTATGCAGGGGCATTTCATTAATCATTTCATCATAATCCGAGCAGGATGTTTGAACTGATTTCACAAATACCCTTTCATTTCACTACTTCATTATGCTCGCTAATGGATCCAATATATTATATATCATAAATTATATCACATCTTCGGTGACCATATAGGTCACTGTCACTAGGCATGCCTCTACGCGCTCACAGTAGCGCCGGCGGAGGAAGGAATGGTGTGCGACGTGCCTGCCTTCTCAAATGCACTTTTTCTGTCATTTACTGCAAATCAAATGTAGCCAGACCTGACCGGTGCAGAAGCAGTGGCAGGCCGGGCTGATATGATGGCTCAATAAATCTAAAGGCCTCCCTGGCAGTTTTGTTGTGGGCCGATTGCTTAACATACAGACAACACGTTTGTGCATTAAAAAACACACAGACACACACAAAACAGAGATATGTGAAGGGATGGAAAATGGATGGCATTCTGCTTGGATGTGAAGGTTTCGCTTCTAGTGGGCTATTTTCAACCTTGGGGAATTTAAATCTTTATGGAAAATACACTGCTTTTCAGATGGCCGTGTTATATATATATATATTCACTATTTCATTAGTATTATTTTGACAAAAAGACGGACATTTGAAAAGGCATATCTAAGGAAAGCGTAGATGATAACCATGGCTGCTGTAATCAATGGTGTCCACTCTCAGCTTTACAATTATCTGAATTAAATAAAAGTCAATTTAATTAAGTAGGTTGGGCATTGAAACTCGTAAACATTTCAGAACGTCTTACTAAAATTTAAAAGAAAAGTAAAGACGTTTCAACAAATGCATAGACTGCATTTTCAATGAAGGTACCCTACGTGATGAGCTTTAGAATGTCTCTGTTCACCGAAGCCATGCACCTCGCTTCTCTTCATCCTTTGTTAAATTATACTTTTTTTATTCTAATGACATGGAGTCACAGTGCATAATTAATAGAAAATGAAATATTCAAATGGTCCCTAATGCAGCCCTACGAAGAGCGTCTGGACACAGGGAGCTAGCTGGGGATACAGGGAATTGACATCGAGAGAGACTATGAATGTTGGCATGTGTCACTTTCTGTACTTTAAATGAAGCAGATTTTAAAAGCTTTCTGGCAGGATGACAGTCCCTAATGTAAATTGCCACAATAAAACAAGTTAAATAGACATTCCTTAAAGTCAGCTTTTTACATATAATTTAGGGTGCTTTCCTTTTTTACTGGTTTTAATTATATACACTAGACCCACTACTTTGGACCAGCCCGATGCCATATGTCCATATAGCTGACCATTGTGTAAATTAGAATGTCTATTTTCATTGTTTTTTAATAAAACGGTTTGCACATCAGTTAAAACCTGCTTTTTAAGTATTAAATATTTAATAATACTTTTTCTCTGATTTTTTAGAGACATTTTTTAGGACACATGTTGAAATATGATTTTTCTTTACAAAACAAGTAATATCCACCAAATAGCCTATTCTTTCTTAAGCAATTCTCAGAGAGAGTTCAGGTATGAGAGTCAGTTAGTTTTATGAGTGACAGAGAGAGGCAGAGGGTGCAGCACTAGAGGGCATTGCAGTGTTTCACTGGCTGTGACCTTTGAATGGTCACTGAAGAGGGGTTCTTGACCCTCACCAATCTCTGCTGTGAACCAGACCCCACCCCACTCAGCACTGAATTGAAAACAGGAATAGGATTTTGCCCTTTTTATTTATCAAGATAGTGCATGTAGGTATGTAATGTTGTCTTTAAAAGACATAATAAATACACACACAGTTTAAAACAACATTTCAGTCCCGTGTTAGTTGTTACTGTTGGCATGGCGAGCTGAAATCTGGTTGACGTTAGAGTCCTCCTCACCTTTCCCACTCTCCTATACAGTACTCAGTGTTCTGCTGTTTCTACTGTCTCCTCCAGTTCACTTCCACCATATCTATCCGCCCCAACAATCATTTATAAAGGTGTTATTAGCATATGCCCGATTTCTTATTTGTTTGTATTTGTGATTCTCTTGGAGACATGGATTAAGTATCAGTCTCTGGGTTTCATGAAGTGCTTAAGGGTTTGAGAGTTAACACCTTGGTGAGCAGCTCGCTCTCTTGCCTGCTGTTAAACAAAGGCGGCTTTGTGGAGACTCTTCAAATGTTTTCTTAACATGTTCCAAGCAGTTTAGGCAGGCAACTAAAGTAAACAAGATGTTGCCTTGATAAAAACACTTGTAAAAACATAGCAGAGTGACTTAGATACTTTTTTCTAAGGAGAGCTTTACCGGGCGCACAGATTGTAATTCCTCTCTCTTCTATAAAGAATGTCAGAATACAATACGTAGTGATGGATTGAAGCAGACATTCACAAAACTGAAATGTGGAGGGAGAAAAAAAATTGTAATGAGCAACTTGGTGAAAATGTGTTATAAACAGAGTTTTAAAAAAAGACACAAACTTTCTGTGATTTCTCTCGGTACACTGAAATCCAAAGTAGCTTACATTATTATCATCAAAAATGATTTCAAACGTGTTTTGTGGTGCTGGAAACATTTTAGGACACTTTTTAAAACCACCTTCTCTCGAAGTGGCTGGCTGCATAGTATGAAATGAGAACTTAAACACAGAGTAGGAACAGCAGAACTGTAAGTGACCGTAAAGCTTCCACCTATCTCCTGTGTGTTTGTGAGGGACCTCTGTGTGCCCTGGCTGCTAGGCCCAGGATAATGGAATTGTGTCATATCTTGTTTAAAGTGCCACTAATCCAGGGCGACAGACACCCATTGATCTGCTGCCACAGCACAGATGTTTTCATCCTCTGTCTCTGTAGCCATGCTGGTGTTATGTGTTGGATTACCCATAGAACACTGCCCACAAGGTTGATTAGTGAACCAGGGTCAGGCCTAAAAGGGGACGATACAGTACAACCAAGGCCCAGTTCCAAGTGGATATGAATTAGGAGAAGAAGCCAAAGACCCTGAGACTGGTTCAGTTTGAGAGGGTCCAGTGGGCATGGTTATGATTGATGTTGTTGATGAGTAAACTACTGAATCTGACTAAGTACAAGACGTGAAAATAAGTGAGTTCTGGTGCTGTTATTAAGGCGTGAAATAGATACAGTGGGGAAAAAAAGTATTTAGTCAGCCACCAATTGTGCAAGTTCTCCCACTTAAAAAGATGAGCGAGGCCTGTAATTTTCATCATAGGTACACGTCAACTATGACAGAACAAATGAGGGGAAAAAATCCAGAAAATTACATTGTAGGAATTCTTATGAATTTATTTGCAAATTATGGTGGAAAATAAGTATTTGGTCAATAACAAAAGTTTCTCAATACTTTGTTATATACCCTTTGTTAGCAATGACACAGGTCAAACGTTTTCTGTAAGTCTTCACAAGGTTTTCACACACTGTTGCTGTTTTTTTGGCCCATTCCTCCATGCAGATCTCCTCTAGAGCAGTGATGTTTTGGGGCTGTCGCTGGGCAACACAGACTTTCAACTCCCTCCAAAGATTTTCTATGGGGTTGAGATCTGGAGACTGGCTAGGCCACTCCAGGACCTTGAAATGCTTCTTACGAAGCCACTCCTTCGTTGCCCGGGCGGTGTGTTTGGGATCATTGTCATGCTGAAAGACCCAGCCACGTTTCATCTTCAATGCCCTTGCTGATGGAAGGAGGTTTTCACTCAAAATCTCACGATACATGGCCCCATTCATTCTTTCCTTTACACGGATCAGTCGTCCTGGTCCCTTTGCAGAAAAACAGCCCCAAAGCATGATGTTTCCACCCCCATGCTTCACAGTAGGTATGGTGTTCTTTGGATGCAACTCAGCATTCTTTGTCCTCCAAACACGACGAGTTGAGTTTTTACCAAAAAGTTATATTTTGGTTTCATCTGACCATATGACATTCTCCCAATCCTCTTCTTGATCATCCAAATGCACTCTAGCTAACTTCAGACGGGCCTGGACATGTACTGGCTTAAGCAGGGGGACACGTCTGCACTGCAGGATTTGAGTCCCTGGCGGCGTAGTGTGTTACTGATGGTAGACTTTGTTACTTTGGTCCCAGCTCTCTGCAGGTCATTCACTAGGTCCCCCGTGTGTTTCTGGGATTTTTGCTCACCGTTCTTGTGATCATTTTGACCCCACAGAGTGAGATCTTGCGTGGAGCCCCAGATCAAGGGAGATTATCAGTGGTCTTGTATGTCTTCCATTTCCTAATAATTGCTCCCACAGTTGATTTCTTCAACCCAAGCTACTTACCTATTGCAGATTCAGTCTTCCCAGCCTGGTGCAGGTCTACAATTTTGTTTCTGGTGTCCTTTGACAGCTCTTTGGTCTTGGCCATAGTGGAGTTTGGAGTGTGACTGTTTGAGGTTGTGGACAGGTGTCTTTTATACTGATAACAAGTTTAAACAGGTGCCATTAATACAGGTAACGAGTGGAGGACAGAGGAGCCTCTTAAAGAAGAAGTTACAGGTCTGTGAGAGCCAGAAATCTTGCTTGTTTGTATGTGACCAAATACTTATTTTCCACCATAATTTGCAAATAAATTCATTAAAAATACTACAATGTGATTTTCTGGAATGTTTTTTCTCAATTGGTCTGTCATAGTTGACGTGTACCTATGATGAAAATTGCAGGCCTCTCTCATCTTTTTAAGTGGGAGAACTTGCACAATTGGTGGCTGACTAAATACTTTTTTTCTCCACTGTATACAGCTAGTTAGGAAAGTTTTGTGAAAGAGGCAGTTGAGAGACAAAAAGAGATTAAGTGTAAAAGAAAGAGAGCAGGAGAGAAGAGAAAAGCAAACAGAGCGAGAGAGAAAGAAAGCAAGAGAAAGACAGAAAGAGCTGAGTGAGGAAAGCAAAGGCACACACACATCCCTGTCCAGTGACAAGGACAAACATGCGGAGCACCCTGAGTGTCGGCTGCCACAGATAAACATTATCCCGTTGTTTGTTTGGGAAAAACGGCCTGAATCACCATGGGGACTGCACTTATCACAGGAATTAGAGGCCCCTGCAGGGCCCAGTGGAGACCACACCCCATCACTATCATAGAGAGGCACAACAACACACCTAGCACACACACACACACACACACACACACAAATAACAACCCGTTGCACCTGTAGTGTCACTAAGCCCCAGGGGAAACAGAGCCTTAATCGGCCCAAGAAGAGGGCCAGGCGGAAGAGGAACTTAGACAAGACACTGGAATGTCTGATGAAGAAAACAGAACAGACTGCAGAGAGATGCAGCCTAAAAGCTATGAAACTTACTTCAGGAATGACTGGAAGTCCTCAAACACTGCCTCGCATCCAGGCCACTTGCACACCCCGTGCCCATAGAGCGGGTGACTGTGGTGAGACAGTTGGTAGTCGTCTAGCGTGGATCTGTAAGAGACAGACAAAGAGAGAGAGTCACATACAATAATTCCTACTTATTAACAGTCTCAGTGCGAACAATGTTTCAATGGCATGCTACAGAAGTACACCATTTAAAGTTGAGGATGTTGATGGGTTTGGAGAGAATTCCCCTTGTGTTGTCACAACACAAAAGCTTGTCCTTGAGTTGACCTTTGAACTGCGGGCAGTGTGAAATCAGTGTAGCTTTGTGATCTCTGCTTCCTCTCTGGCTGGAGGGGGCGGCCCTCGTAGGGGCAGTCCTTGTGAGAGGGATCCAAAACCAATCAATATGTAATTATTTAGTGTCAGTGATCCGAGTAGCAGCCCACTTTGATCCAGGCAGCCAGGGGTTCCCTAAGACCTTACTGCTGAACCCTTTCCCAGGACCCACGTGGAGGAACAGACTGACCGCTCCCACAACAGGAAGCCCGCAAATCCATCTGCCAGCCTCCCGTCAAGCACAAACAGTAAACACCAAACACTGCCGTCTGCTAACAATTTATTTACCGATCGACGGACGGACCAACCGACGTCAGCATGGGCCAAACGCGCACATCTGAGGAGAGGCTTACGGCTTCACAACATCAGCTGTAAATACCAGGACAGTCCCGATAAACAAACCACACAACAACTTTCATATGGCGTTGCAAGTCGAAACAGTACGATGCAGAGGCATGCGCGTGTAGAGAACGAGACAGTCTGCCATATGGACACAGGCACTGTACAAGCCACACACGTCTCAGCTACAAGAGCCTGGGGGACTGTCCTATATCACTACCACCTGTGTTTCTAGTGGCCCTCTAGTCTAGCAAACCACTGCTGCTTACATACTGGCTGAGAAGGAAGAGGGCAAGGGAACATTCATTAGACCCAAATCCCCACAGTAACGTCGTTAGGGATTTAGTCTATGGAGATGCTCTGTGTGTATTTTACTCTCCTAAAGATGACTGTTAAAAAGCCCTCACACAATTGAACCATTCCTAACGCATCCATCTGCAATGCATTAAAATGAAAGAAGCAATTTTTCATTATAAAATAAAGGAACAAATCAATCTAATCGGGGTGTGCCAATTCAATTCAGGATTAAAATACGCTGTTGTTCAGATTAATCTCATTTGTATAGATGTTAGCAAAGCTGTACCTCAAGAGAGCCGTCACAGGTTTTCTTGTGTTATAATTACTTGCTTAAGAGTTCACATTGTTCATAACATGTGATAATTGCATTGCAATTAGAGAGCAGTGAAGCATTCATGAATATGTTTAACATAAAAAAAATCTGAAATATATATTTTTAAATGAATTATGCATATGCATTAAGACCTATGTTTTGATACAGCTAATAAATAGATGATAGAAGATATATTATAATGACTTTTTAACAAGAAAATGTGTGGACTGGTGAATGTAGCGCTGACTTTTAATTTAAAGATGCTTTTTATATTCTTTCCGAGTAGCCCTGTTGGTAAATTCTGTATTAATAAGATATTGAATTGTGGAGTGTGTGCCGGGAGTCAGTGAGCACAGAACTCTGAAGGAGCTGGCAGCAGAAAGGCCCTTTTAAACAGCAGATGACTAAACAGTGGTAAATGACAGAATTTACACCAAATGAGCTACATTAGGGTAATAGGAGAAGTGCCTGGGATTCTGGGGGGTTCTCCCTATTGTGACCTCATTCTCATTCAGTACTAGGAGAGAAAAATCAGCTCCTCTCCTCAGCTCTCTCTCTCTCAGATCCTGTAGTGGAGTTAAATGTGACTTGCACCCTGGGCAGATCTGTCAGGATGCTATTATTGTCAGGCTGCCTGGGGGAAGATAACTCTAATGATCTTGTAACAGCAATGAGGGAAACCATGTCATCTGCATCCTGTACAGAATAGGAACAAAAAGCTCCTCTACCTAGACGTAACATGGCTGAATCTTCCAGGTGTTGTTCATCCGTACACACCAACAACACATAGGCATACCATACTGCCGGCAAAAAACACAACCAGCACACTGTACACAATCTGTCTGTTTTTGAGGAAGGTGACTTAGATCATCAACAAGGCATGATCCTAGGGACCATAGAGTACACTTGGGCACTCAGTGTGATTATTGGTAGCAAACAGAGAGAGGATTGATGTTTCTACCAAGCTGGGTCAGAGTCTGGACATGGCCTGTCTGGAAAGCCAGTCACAACACGGTCTATCATCTAACAGAGTGGGTATTGATGACTGCCTGCTCCTCTGTGGCCTCCCTGGGGCTCTCCAGACCCCAACTCCATTCTCCCCTCTCTCCCACCAATCAAGGGTTTACTCCTAAATTATTTAATTATAATTTTACGTGTGTAAGACAAATTAAAGGCAAGAGAGGGGCGTGTCGTGTCAAATCAGATTATTTATCTCTTTAACAGATTGCTGAGCTGAAGTCCCTGAGCTGTGGTTACTGATGGTTGCTGGGAAGTAAGTGGGCCAAATGCTTTGTGAGAAGGATGCTCTCACTCCTCATCCTCGCTCCCCCTCGAGCGCGCGGGGCGCCAGCGCGCGCGCGCCAGCGCGATCGAGGCGCGGCAGGCCCGAGCAGATTTCGAGCGCCAGCTCTCTCGCGCGCGCGCGAGCGCGCGGCGAGATAGCGGATCGAGAGCGCGAGAGTATCCGCGCTCGCTCCGCCGCGCCGCTCTCCTTATCGCCAGATCCCTCTCTCTCGCTGTCTCTCCTCGCGCCTCGCGCCTCTCTCTCTCTCCTCTCGCTCTCTCTCTCTCTCTCTCTCTCTCTCTCTCCATTCCCTCTCTCTACATATCTTTTCTCCATATCCCTCTCTCTACATCTCTTTCTATCTCCATGTCTCTCTCACTCTTTCCATCTCTCTATCTCAATATCCCTCTCTCCACACTCTTAGAAAAATGGGTTCCAAAAGGTTATTCGGCTGTCCCCATAGAATAACCCTTTTTGGGTCCCGGTAGAACCCTTATTGGTTCCAGGTATAACTCTTTTGGGTTCCACGTAGAACCCTCTGTAAAAAGGTTTCTACATGGAACCCAAAATAGTTCTACCTGGAACCCAAAACATTTATTCAAAGGGTTCTCCTATGGGGACAGCCAAAGAAACCTTTTACATTCTAGATAGCACCTTTTTTTCTAAGAGTCTCTCTCTCTCTCTCTCTCTCTCTCCGTCCATACTCGCTAGTCGCCTGAGCGACGCGCGCCAGCGCGCAGCGCGCCGCTGCGCCACGTCGCCTCACACACCCCTCTCTACACCTCTTTCTCTCCATATCCCTCTCTCTACATCTCTTTCTATCTCTCTCTCTCTCTCTCTCTCTCTCTCTCTCTCTCTCTCTCTCCATCTCTCCATCTCTTTCTATCTCTATCTCTCTCTCTATCTCTCCATCTCTTTCTATCTCCCTCTTTCTCTTTCCCTCTCTCTCTCTCTCTCTCTCTCTCTCTTTCTTTCCATCTCGTTCTATCTCCCTCTCTCTCTCTCTAACTCCATGTCTCTCTCTCTCCATCGCTCTCTCTCTCTAACTCCATGTCTCTCTCTCTCCATCTCTCGCTCTCCATCTCTTTCTTTATCCATGTCTCTCTCTCTCCATATCTCTCTCCATGTCTCTCTCTCTCCATCTCTTTCTATATCCATGTCTCACTCTCTCCATCTCTCTCTCCATCTCTCTTTCTATCTCCATGTCTCTCTCTCTCTCTCTCTCTCTCTCTCTCTCTCTCTCTCTCTCTCTCTCTCTCTCTCTCTCTCTCTCTCTCTCTCTCTCGCCATCTCTTTCTATCTCCATCTCTCTCTCCATCTCTCTCTCTCTCAATTTCAATTTCAATTTAAGGGCTTTATTGGCATGGGAAACGTGTGTTAACATTGCCAAAGCAAGTGAAGTAGATAGTAAACAAAAGTGAAATAAACAATAAATATTAACAGTAAACATTACACTCAGAAGTTTCAAAAGAATAAAGACATTTCAAATGTCATATTATGTATATATACAGTGTTGTAACAATGTGCAAATAGTTAAAGTACAAATGGGAAAATAAATAAACATAAATATGGGTTGTATTTACAATGGTGTTTGTTCTTCACTGGTTGCCCTTTTCTTGTGGCAACAGGTCACAAATCTTGCAGCTGTGATGGCACACTGTGGTTTTTCACCCAGTAGATAAGGGAGTTTATCAAAATTGGGTTTGTTTTCAAATTCTTTGTGGATCGCTGTAATCTGAGGGAAATATGTGTCTCTAATATGGTCATACATTTGGCAGGAGGTTAGGAAGTGCAGCTCAGTTTCCACCTCATTTCTCTCTCTCTCTCTCTCTCTCTCTCTCTCTAACTCCATGTCTCTCTCTCTCCATCGCTCTCTCTCTCTCTAACTCCATGTCTCTCTCTCTCCATCTCTTTCTTTATCCATGTCTCTCTCTCTCCATCTCTCTCTCCATGTCTCTCTCTCTCCATCTCTTTCTATATCCATGTCTCACTCTCTCCATCTCTCTCTCCATGTCTCTCTCTCTCCATCTCTCTTTCTATCTCCATGTCTCTCTCTCTCTCTCTCTAACTCCATGTCTCTCCTCTCCACGCTTCTCTCTCTCTAACTCCATGTCTCTCTCTCTCCATCTCTCGCTCTCCATCTCTTTCTATATCCATGTCTCTCTCTCTCCATCTCTCTCTCCATGTCTCTCTCTCCCCATCTCTTTCTATATCCATGTCTCACTCTCTCCATCTCTCTCTCCATGTCTCTCTCTCCATCTCTCTCTCCATTTTCCCTCTCTCTCCTCCATCTCTTTTCTCGATATCCATGTCTCACTCTCTCCATTCTCTCTCCATGTCGCTCTCTCACTCTCTCTCCATGTCGCTTCTCTCTCACTCTCTTCTCTCTCTCTCATCTCTCTCTCTCTCTCTCTCCTCTCTCTCCTCTCTCTCTCTCCATGTCTCTCTCTCCATCTCTCACTCTCCATCTCTTTCTATATCCATGTCTCTCTCTCTCCATCTCTCTCCATCTCCATGTCTCTCTCTCTCCCTCTTTCTCCATCTCTTTCTATCTCCATGTCTCTCTCTCTCCATGTCTCTCTCTTTCCATCTCTCTCCTTCTCTTTCTATCTCCATCTCTCTCTCTCTCTCTCTCTCCATCTCTCTCTCACACACAAAATGAGCACAGCACAGGGTTGGGGAATTAAAGTCAGATACAGATTGGATGCATTTCATTCCAATAAGTAAATCATTGAACTAAGCGATCTGGCTCACAGGGGTATTTCTCTCCTCACATGCCAAAACTCGGACCAGGATGAATGACAGACAAACATGCCTTCACAATTTTGGGGTGGATTCAGTCAGAATCCCTGTCTGTGAGTGAGGGCTCTTTGAGGCTGCTAAAAGCTGGAGCAAAGTCTCATCTGCGCCGGCAGTGATTGAATTTCTCCTCCTTCCTTAAGACGGAAGTGAAAAGGCTGTGAATGATGCCTGTGGATGCACTTAAGGTTTTAGTTGCAGGCGTCGCTGTGCCTGGGCAGATTTTATATGACACATGAAACTAACTACATGGTACTTAGAGCTTGCTGTAAACCAATCTGAGCCCGGCCGGGAAAACAGGTCCATCAGCAGAGTGGCTTGTTTCTGTTGCATGACAAAAGGACTTACAAAACCACATCAATTAAAAGTTCATTAAGTTCAGCGCTGGGAGGATGAGTGGATGCTCTCTATTTACACCCAGCCCAGGCCATTATCTAAAACCTGATTATTCAAATCCCTGGATTATAACAGACATTTCTTATAGCCTTGCATGGAATAATCACGCATAATAATATTTCCTTTATTTTTTATTATTCGCAAGGATTCTGATTAGAATGGTGTCTGCATCATCAAAAGAGAGGAATAATGTTCTTTATAGTTATATGATTTAAGCACGTGGAAATTAACACAAGCAAGGATTATTGGTTGTATGAATTTAAATAAGCATCATGCAGTGTTTAATAGGGATTTTATTATGCTCATTTATGTCAGTCATCTATATTTTAAAGCCGGGTTTGGAAACCTTGTTTTGCCATCCACAGCAGAGAGATGGGTGAGAAATCACCTGCTTGGGTTTCTACTCTGAATATTCAACCCCAGATTGAGCGTGTGTTGACTTCTTTTTTCATCTCTGTCAGGGAGCGCAAGGCGTCGGTGGGGGGGGGGGGGGGGGTCAGCCTTTCACACACGTCTTCTCCAATGTTTCATGGAGCCTTCAGCTGGGCCTTGTTGTTTCTCTCTTCCCACTGATGGGTGTTGTTGTTGGTTCACATCTGAAGACGTGTGATGGAGGGAGCGTGTCAATATCTCCCCCTCCGATTAATCTTCAGCCACAGGGACTAGAGCGCTGACTGACTGACTAACTGACTGACTGGATGGATGCACCAGAGCCTGTGGATACTGTCTGCAGTGAGCTAGGAGAGGTGTCACTGGAGCTCGCTGTGTGTGTGTGTGTGTGTGTGTGTGTGTGTGTGTGTGTGTGTGTGTGTGTGTGTGTATGTGTGTGTGTGTGTGTGTGTGAGTGTGTGTGTGTGTGTGTGTGAGTGAGTGTGTGTGTGAGTGAGTGAGTGTGTGTGAGTGTGCGTGTGCGCGTGGCTGAGACAGTGTGTGAAAAGGACGGAGGGGGATCTATCTGTGTTTCCATGTAATATCTCAGTGAAATGTGGACATTCTGTGAGACCTCATAGTCAAAATATATGAAAGGAGTGTCAAAATACTGATGTCACACCACTTGACCTAAAATGTCTCACATTATCTTGAAATAAATATATGTGATGAACTAGTATCCCATAATCAGTAAAACATATAGCATTTATTTTCTTTCCAAATAAGGCATTCCAAGTTCACCCATTACGATTGAGAGCAGTGTGAGATAGTCATTTAGTCAGGTTCTCCATGCAGGCCTGTATCTCCCCACTACTACCATTGAACACTATCTGTCTGTCTGTGTTTGAACCCCTCTTCACCTCCCAAGGCTTGATGGTTTAGAGTGCTAAACGTGTTTTCATCTGCAGTGCTTTCATAATGACACATAGGTTTTGATCAGCGAAACACAAGTCAGATGTTGTGCAGTGAGCTCATGGTGCCTGGAGGCTCCTCACCAGCAGTTCAGAGATCAGCGCCTCAGTGCAAGAAAACAAGTCAACGTGTTGGATGCCAAATTAATTCTTTCCTTAAAGACATAGCGGCTCAGGGAAATGTTTCTGAAAACGTACAAATATCACGTCAAGCATCCAGGGAAAAGAGGGGTTGTCTGACATATATATTACATCTTACATCGGATCAACATAGTTTTCAAATATTTATAGTGTATTTTTTACATAATGTAATATTAAACAGTCTCTGTTTGACATATTCTGATTAGGGTTGGAATGTATTTTACTTACCTAATATAAATTATAAGTATTATTTGAATAAAGAATAAAGTCGATGAACTGTAGTGTCTGAATTGCTCTGCTTCAATATGTTCTGAACACCACACCTACAGAAGGCTAGTTGTCATAAACGTCACTATCCGGAAGGACAGCGAAGGTTGCAGGGTGTATGTTTATCTGTTGTTGAGAGGACGTTGGTAATTTGAATTTTATTTAACCAAACAGAGCCCTGCATGTCACAGCTGCAGTTTCCTAAGTGCAACTGAAATAACAGCACCCTTGACCCTCTAATTAATAGTGTGCTGATCCCATTTCCATTACTGCAATCTGAAGTCCAAATCACTCCCTCGCTCCCAGGTGTTTCACTGCAATCCCCAGGCGGATTCTGACACACAGAACAAGCTTGTGTCTTAATGAAAACAGTAAGGTACTTACAAACTATAAATTAATATTCATCTGTGGGCAAAGCCCTATGGGAACATGTCCATCAACTCAGGCCCCTTCAAGGAATTGCAGTTTTAAATGGGGAATATGTAGGCCTCCTGTTTTCTTTAGTCAAAGATGACAGTAAAGAGAATGTCATACCTAATGAGTTCAAGTTTTGTTTCATAAAGTAGAAAGGACGTATGCATGCCTAATTGCACCCCAGTTTAGAAAAAGAGGTCAGATTGTGGCGAATATCATAATCTGTGATTTCTTTCATGTTAAATCAATGAGCACAACTTCCTTAGTGACACATTCAGTCACAAACCATTCCCTGGAAATATAAACCCTATTGTGCCAAGCTTGTTACACTGAAGCTGTTGGGTTGGGAGGAAGCGGACGACAGACAAGAGAGAGACTCACCCTTCTCTCTTCAGAGAATGGCTCATGTACTGTCCATTGGTGGAGGCGTGTTGGTTGAGGAGGGGGTTCTTGGGGGGTTGTGGCGAGGACAGGTCCAGGCCGCGGCGGCCATTGTTGCTGCTGCTGTTCTCTTCCTTCAAATTCGTCACCTCCTTCCACAGCTGCTGAAGCTCTGCTGGATTTATGCCTGAAACAAACAAATTGGATAATTAAATCAATTAACAGCTAATCTAACTCTCTTTGTTACATAATTAAATCAAAGGGTCTGTAAACAAAGCTGAGTATTAATTAGAAAATATTCCACTAGAGGGTAATGCACTGAGAGCGCTTGTTCCCCCCTGCTCTCTCTCTGTGATCTGAAGCGTGTTTGTATGCACAAATCCCTGGCATTCACACGCATTTCATGCCCACAGTAAATAATTAGCATCCAGACAAGGCATGAAATCTGAATAATCACCATCATTTCTCCTACAAGAGGAGAGGCAGAACACACACAAAAAGTTTACAATAGCAACATTACAACCAAAACAGCCCACACCACCCCACCTCCTTCAGAAACAGGACCCTGGGGTAATATTCTCAAAAGCGCATTAATGTGCAATATACTTAAAGTTCTGCACCGCCTCCAATTGACACAGAAGACTTAAACCTCATTTAACGAGTCAAGCACATTGCAGCTAACACAGCAGCCTTCTAAAGAAAAACATCCCTTGAAGACAGAAGACATTTTCTTGTGTCGGAAGACATACACAGTGAGAGCGTGTTTTCTGTGCTGCTGTCTGACAGCCATGCTGACACCCTGGGCCAGATTGGGGATGAGGAAGAATAATGTTGTGTTTGTACACCCCAGTTTCCATGCCTGAGAGAACCTAGCCATTGTTTGCACACAATGGACTGTACATGTGTATGTGTCCGTATATATAGTGTCTGTTACCACTAGCAGGAGAAGCTTGCTTTCATTTGACATAAATTAGGCAAAAGCTGACAAGAAGAAGAAGAAAAAAATCTGCCCGTGAGGTTCTCTAGCCGTTTGTATTGTGGTTCAGAAATGTATTTGGTTAATCCATATTTTTTATAGCATATTAAAATATCCAATATGGGAATGTGTGCACATTTGACAGGATGGGCAAGACCACTCGTTTAATATTACAATGATTAAAATCTATTCTCAAAATGAGCAATGGCAAATGAAAGATGATTTGCACATGCTTATCTCGGTTGGGTTTATATTCCCTATAGATACCAGAAGTGGCCCTTTCAAGCGCCAGATCCTAATACATTTTGCAAAATGCTTAGTCTAAATTTATTCCTGTTGTGGAAAATAAATGTAAGGTGAAGATCTCAATACGATCAGCAAAAGTATTTTTAATTTGATAAGCTACTAAAGATTTTAATTATGCTTGTAATGGAGAACATTGGCCTAATGATGCGAAGGACTCCAGAGAGACTGTGAAATGAGTCTGATAGGATTGCTGTAAATTCACACTAGGTCGTTTGCATATCAAAGAGCAGGAAATGATTGCAGGACAAATCAATAACCTTTCCACGTGCTCACCTCTATTCTGCGTGCCCTGTATTCTCTCTGTCTCTCTTTCTGTCTTACTCCTTGACGTACCTTCATCGAAGGACACAGCCCTGATAGACAAAACATGCCAAATGTTTCTGTTTGCACAAAAGCATGCTAATCCTTCGTTTGTTGCTTCTCACTTGTCTTATTAAAGGCCCATTGTACTTTTGATGGAGGGAAGGATCCCTGGAGGGAAAGTTTTCTATGATGATGGTTTGTCTGGATGGGGAAGGTCACTGGTAGAGCGAGTGTCCTGTGCTTCGACAGCGGGAACAATAATTCCCCCCCCACCCCACTTTGTGCCCAGTGACAGTGGGCAATGTATTTTTAGCCTGTGTGGCTGACAGGGCAGCCCACTCTCCCTCAATTACCAGCCAGTCCTGGTGACCCCGACACCACTGTTTACTCAGATGAAACAGGTCCCATAGACTCCTCTGATGATAGAGGTAACGGACTGGGACCAAGCGGTCTCCTTTATTTCTCTATCTCTCCCCCTCTATCCTCCACTCCCATGTCCTTCTCTTATTAAACTACCTTGCCCTCATTGGATCTCTTGATACCGAGGGTCGTTCAAGATAACACCATGAATGACAATAAAATGTAGTGCTATGAAAATCTCAAATAGTATTATAATCTAGGTTTGGACAAACTGCTTTTTATTTGACCTGAGAAGGCAGCATCTGATTTCTATGGTAGACATACAGTATAACAGTGATCTCTAAATCCTTTTTTGTATCTCCAGTATTTTCAAATACGGGATTGGTTTATCCTCCTTTTTCCATTTTTCAACAACGCTTTCCACTCATTATAGGTTGGAAATACAGACAAGCACTTTAAAAAATGTATGTTGTTGGGACACTTGATTGATCACCGGCCTGGCAACTCAATTTTACCTCTGCAGGTAGCTCTGGCACCCAGACAGGCCGCGCTATTCAACCTTTTCTTGTCCTTGTATCGCCGTACCCAGGTGACCATGTTCAAGCAAGCAGAAAGTTGATTTAAGGTTCATAATGACATCATCCACAGAATAAAACATAGCCCCTATACTCTGGGCTCTTTCAACTCTGCAGAGCCAATACCACGGGGGGACGGTGACACCACTATTTGATCTCTGGTGCACCCCTGTTTATGTTCCTGTAATCACTGGCCTAGTGATATGCACCTAAAATATGCTCCCTCCTAATGCTGTAGGAACTATTACCAGTGTCGCGCTGCTTTCCAAATCAATCACTGACTGGGGGAGCGTATTACCTACCGCTGTCCCTGATGTGCCGCTGCTGCACTGAGAACGGCTTCGTACTTCGCCACATTCTTTGCATTTGTCTTGTCACTGTCCCATTGCCCTCTCCTGGACAACCTAACTAATGTTCTCCAGAGATGAGAGCTCAGCCTGTTACAGCGCCACCTGGGAGGCCATGGAGCCACAAAACACACTTCAGCCAATCAGGGCAGGCGCAGAGAGGGGCGAGCAGCGACACACGCGCACACGCACGCACGCACATACACACACACCTGGCAGCTGCACCTGGGAGAGCAGAGCGGCGCGAACACTGCTGTCTCACTCACTCTCCACAGGTCAAGAGGAAAGGCTTTTGGGGGGAGGAGGGGAGGTGGACGCTGGATCAAATGTATATTTATGGGAGTTATATCCTCCCCAAACACATTGTTGTAATTTATAACAGATATTGTCTGACTGCTTCCAAGACTTTGAACATTAATGTCAAAAGAATTTACCGCGAGAGAAACAAATTAAAGTCCAGATAAAGAGAACAATTGGTTGTCATCCAAGTAGCACTCCTCAATGATAACTCTATGTGATTATTCATGTCTATTTGTAATGAAAATGTTTTATACTGTCTCTATCAACATTTCCAGTAAGCATAAGACAAAACAATACAAAAAATAAACCATGTTATACATGTACAATATTTTCAAAGTATGCATTACACGCCTCCTTATTCTAAAACATTCAGGGCGGCTGTTAAATATTTTTGTTAAATCTATTGTCCCAGAACACCATGACAGCACAATACAATTATAACGCCATGAGAGATTGAATTTTGAAATCATTTGATTGTGATATCTGAATTTGAATAAAGGGGGAAAAAAAGCATATCTCTGTCTGATCACCTCAGTGTATAAAAGTAATCCTAATTCATCGCCTCTGTCCAAACACATAATCACCATGGTCCAAACAGAGCAGCAGAACACATTCTTGCTGCAGTGCTGCTTACTATGTGCTGAATATCGTAGATTAGATCTCAGCTCTGTAGGTCTCGGCTGCTGATGCATGAAAGAGTTTAGTGATGTGGAAAACAGAAAGGTCATCAATAACTTCAAACAGTCAAGCAGAAAATGTGTAGAATAGGAAGGGAAACTCAGCCTGATGGTAAGTGTTTTAACAGCTGTCTTACACAGAGCTAACATCAATGGTTTCCAATGGCAGGCTAGCCAGGTTCCACTCAGTAAAATAGTGAAACCAACCAACATACTGTGTGGTAAGGTTCAATTCCTCATTTGAGGTTGTATAAATAATAACAAAGAGCAACGATACCTTATTTGTATCTTAAACTGTTATCTGACAAAACATGGCCGAACAAACCAAGAGTGTATGGCTATACTGTCCTGTTTGCTATTAGTCGTGGTGTGATACGGCCTAAGAGGTATTTGATGACACCAGGCATAATCAAACAGTCAACAGGAGTCCAGTAACTGTTGTGCAATTCCATAAAGAACAGTAAACTGCCATATCACTGGTGTAATGCTTTACTCAAAGGGCGTGTGTGTTTGCCAGATATATACGACACAAGGTAATTAATAAGCGTACAGTAACAGGCAGCACACCAGTGGTTCACGCCTGTGCCTATGGCAATCTTCTGATTCCATACACAGTCCAAACAATGACATGACTGTACAAACCCTGTTTTTGTTTGTCCATTACCTAAGCTCCCCAGCCCTTCCACTTTATCGCCTTATCTTACTGTTTGTCTTAGCCTGGAATGAATAGTCTATGTCTTGTTCCAAAATGGTATGGAAGCTTTGTCATAGGGCTGCTCCTTAAGAAAATATTAAAAACAAATAAAGAAATAAACTTCCTGGCTAAACAACAAGCGTTGACTCACACCACCATCCCCTTATGGGATATTTCAGTGGCAGTTTAGTAACAATGAGTATGTTTACACGCATACTAATAATTCGATATTAAACATGGCAGTGGGCTGAGTATGGCATTAGTCATGTAAACACCTTACTCTGCTTATCTTAATCGGCGCAAGGCCAAAAATGCCTGGTTTTCTGAGCAACCGTTTGAATGATTAGAACATGTAAACACCTTAATCGGAGTTCCAGCTGTGTATTAGATCTGCGCATGTGCTAGCACCGGCAGCGTGAGTGAAGTGAGTTCGGAAAAACTGAAAGTATGCATCTTAGAAATACTTTTCACATACAAACTTTATAATTTATGTCCGAACTCAGAATCAAATAGGCTTCGCAAAAATAACATGTTCGCTGTGGTACAACTGTCACGGTTTCGGCCGAGGCTGCTCCTCTTCCTTGTTCGGGCAGGCTTCGGCGGTCGTCGTCTCCGGAGTACTAGCGGCCACCGTTCTATGTTTCATGTTCGTTTGGTTTGGTCTCTTTGTAACACCTGTCCCTTGTTTGTGTTTGATTATGTTCCCTATTTAGTTTCGTTTGTTTGGGTCAGGTGTTATGCGTGATTGTATTTTGTCAGCTTGCCACAGAGGAGTTTGTTCTCTCTCGTTTGTTGTCATTTTCGAGAGTTCGCATTGCGTGCGCTTTTTCTTGTTTTCCGCACTGTGTTTGTGCGTAATTGTTCGCGCCGCCCGGTTGGGTTGGCGACTCTTTACCTGATTTGGATTTACTAAAGTCTGTTGAAGTCATCCTGGTTCCTGCGCTTGATTCCCTACACTCATCCACACACAGCACTCTGACAGAATCACGCATCATTCCATGGAATCAGCAGGAGCGACCGCGCCAACAGCAGGTATGGAGGAACGTCTTCGTGGGCAGGAGGATCGGATTAACCAGGTCTGTCATGCCCTGGAGGGGGTGATGAACACTCTCAACCGATGGGAAACCAGCGGGGTACCCACGACCCCACCTACCGAACCATCCCCATCGGTCAGTCCTCCTGTCCCATCTCCGGAACCCAGTGGGATTCGGCTCTCGCTCCCGAGGGCGTACGACGGCTCCACTGCCGGGTGTCAAGGGTTCCTGCTGCAAGTGGAGCTCTACCTCGCCACCGTACACCCGGCGCCCTCGGGACACGAGAGCGTCTCAGCCCTCATCTCCTGTCTCACCGGCAAGGCGTTGGAGTGGGCCAACGCCGAATGGAGGAGAATGGACGCCGCTACCACTACCTATGCGGAGTTCTCCCGCCGCTTCCGTGCTGTGTTTGACCATCCACCAGAGGGGAAGGCGGCGGGGGAGCGTCTGTTCTACCTCCGACAGGGGATGAGGAGCGCCCAGGACTTTGCCTTGGAATTCCAGACTCTAGCGGCCGATGCAGGGTGGAATGAGCGGGCCCATATAGACCACTTCCGGTGCAGCCTCCGGGAGGACGTCCAGCGAGAGTTGGCGTGCAGGGACACCTCGTTGACCTTTGACCAACTTGTCGACATGGCCATTCGGCTGGATACCCTGCTCGCCACCCGTGGACGTCCCGGGTGGGGTTCGCCCATTCCACTCTCCAGCACCTCCGAGCCGAGCCCTATGGAGCTCGGGGGTGCTGGCGCTAGAGAACGGAGGAGTAGGAACCCGAGGGGGGCCGTTCCCTGCACTAACTGTGGCCGTGGAGGGCACACCGCGGCTAGGTGTTGGGGAGGGTCCCCGGTGGAGGAGAGGGCAGGTCACGCATTGGGGGGTCCCCCCAGGTGAGTAGGCGCCCTACTTACCCAGAGCTTTCTGTCGTGCACCTAACCTTGCCTGTTTGTTTTCCACAGGTTGCACCTCGTTCCCAGCATAAGGCGCTGGTAGATTCAGGCGCAGCTGGGAATTTTGTAGATCGCCAGTTTTGTATAGAGTTAGGGATTCCCCTCCTTCCAGTTGATAAGCCTTTCCCTGTTCATGCCCTAGATAGCCGTCCGTTAGGGTCTGGGTTGATTAGGGAGGTCACAGCGCCCCTTCAAATGATGGCGCAGGAGGGTCATGAGGAGACGATTCAGCTCTATCTGATTGACTCTCCTGCGTATCCGGTAGTGCTGGGCCTTCCCTGGTTGATGACCCATGACCCTACTATTATGTGGCGAGAGAAAGCTCTTAAAGGGTGGTCTGCCCAGTGTGAGGGGCGGTGTCTGGGTGTTTCCATAGGGGCGACCTCGGTGGAAAGTCCGAATCTAATGACAGCACTGCATATTCCCCCCGAGTATGAGGATTTGAAACTGGTGTTTAGTAAGACTAGGGCGGCGCAGCTGCCGCCTCATAGACGGGGGGATTGTGCGATAGATCTCCAGTCAGGAGCAGCTCTCCCGCGGAGCCATGTGTATCCCTTGTCTCAAGAGGAGAGGAAGGCAATGGAGACGTACATCGCTGAGTCTCTGAGACAGGGATACATACGGGCCTCCACTTCACCCGCTTCCTCGAGTTTCTTTTTTGTGAAGAAAAAGGATGGAGGTCTGCGCCCGTGTATTGATTACCGCGGTCTCAATCAGATTACGGTGAAGTACAGCTATCCACTTCCTCTGATTGCGACTATGACGGAGTCACTGCACGGTGCGCAGTTCTTTACAAAATTGGATCTCAGGAGCGCATATAACTTGGTGCGCATTAGAGAGGGCGATGAATGGAAGACAGCGTTTAGCACGACTTCCGGACACTACGAGTATCTAGTCATGCCATATGGGTTAATGAATGCTCCCTCAGTCTTCCAATCCTTCGTCGATGAGATTTTCCGGGACATGCAGGGACAGGGAGTAGTCGTGTACATCGACCACATTCTGGTGTACAGTCCTACCCGAGCAGAGCATGTAGCCCTGGTGCGCCGAGTATTGAGGAGGCTATTGGAGCATGACCTATATGTCAAGGCAGAGAAATGTCTGTTTTTCCAGAAGTCGGTCTCCTTTCTGGGTTACCAGTTGTCTGCGTCAGGGGTGAAGATGGAGGTAGACCGGGTGTCAGCTGTGCGTAATTGGCAGACCCCAACCACTGTGAAGGAGGTGCAACAGTTCTTGGGTTTTGCGAATTATTACCGGAGGTTTATCCGGGGTTTTGGACAGGTGGCAGCTCCCATAACGTCTCTGTTAAAGGGGGGTCCGGTGCGCTTGCGGTGGTCAGCTGAGGCGGACAGGGCTTTTGGGAGACTGAAGGACCTGTTTACCTCGGCGCCGGTGTTGGCGCATTCGGATCCCTCTTTACCGTTCCAGGTAGAGGTGGACGCGTCAGAGGCCGGTATAGGGGCCGTTCTTTCCCAACGTTCTGGCACTCCACCTAAACTCCATCCCTGTGCGTTTTATTCTAAAAAGCTCAGTCCGGCGGAGCGGAATTATGACGTAGGAGACAGGGAGCTGTTAGCCGTGGTACAGGCCCTAAAGGTGTGGCGGCATTGGCTCGAGGGGGCTCAACACCCTTTCCTCATTCTAACTGACCATCGTAACCTGGAGTACCTCCGGGCAGCTAGGAGACTGAATCCTCGCCAGGCCCGCTGGACTATGTTTCTAGCCCGGTTTGTGTTTAAAATCACATACATCCCTGGGTCCCAGAACGGGAAGGCAGATGCTCTGTCTCGGCGGTATGACGCGGAGGAGAGGTCCGTTGAGCCCACGCCCATACTACCAGAGTCTTGTCTGGTTGCACCGGTGGTGTGGGAGGTTGATGGCGAGATCGAGCGGGCGTTACACACCGACCCAAGTCCTCCACAGTGTCCAGTGGGTCGGACGTACGTTCCGCTCGAGGTACGCGATCGCCTCATTTGTTGGGCTCATACGTCCCCCTCCTCTGGCCATCCGGGTATCGGCCGGACAGTGCACTGCCTTAGCACGAAGTACTGGTGGCCAACGTTAGCTAGGGATGTGAGGATTTATGTCTCCTCCTGTTCGGTGTGTGCCCAGTGTAAGGCGCCCAGACATTTGCCCAGGGGTAAGCTACAACCCCTGCCTATTCCACAACGACCCTGGTCCCACCTCTCGGTGGATTTTGTTACCGACCTTCCCCCCTCACAGGGGAATACTACCATCCTGGTCGTTGTGGATCGGTTCTCGAAGGCCTGTCGTCTCCTTCCCATGCCGGGTCTACCCACTGCCCTACAGACCGCTGAGGCTCTGTTTACCCATGTCTTCCGGCATTACGGGGTACCCGAGGATATAGTGTCTGACCGAGGCCCCCAGTTCACCTCCAGAGTGTGGAGAGCGTTTATGGAACGGTTGGGGGTTTCGGTAAGCCTTACCTCGGGTTACCACCCGGAGAGTAATGGGCAGGTTGAACGTGTTAACCAGGAGGTGGGTAGGTTTCTGAGGTCTTATTGCCAGGGCCGGCCGGAGGAGTGGGCGAGATACGTTCCGTGGGCCGAAATGGCACAGAACTCTCTCTGCCACTCCTCCACCCAACTAACCCCTTTCCAGTGTGTGTTAGGGTACCAGCCGGTTCTGGCACCTTGGCACGAGAGCCAGATCGAGGCCCCTGCGGTGGATGAATGGGTACGGCGCTCGGAGGAAACATGGAACGCTGCCCACGTACATCTGCAGCGGGCCATCCGTCGGCAGAAAACGAGCGCCGATCTCCACCGCAGTGAGGGGCCTGTGTACGCACCTGGAGATCGAGTCTGGCTCTCGACCAGAAACCTGCCCCTCCGCCTGCCCTGCCGGAAGCTGGGTCGGCGGTTTGTGGGGCCATTCAAAGTCCTGAGGAGGTTGAACGAGGTGTGTTACAGGTTAGAACTGCCTATTGACTATAGGAATATTAACCCCTCGTTCCATGTGTCTCTCCTCAGGCCGGTGGTAGCTGGTCCACTCCAGGAGTATGAGATAGAGGAGACTCCTCCGCCCCCGTTGGACATCGAGGGGGCTCCGGCGTACACCGTGAGGTCCATCCTTGATTCGAGACGCCGGATGGGGGGTCTTCAATATCTCGTGGAGTGGGAGGGGTACGGCCCGGAGGAGCGGTGCTGGGTGCCAAGGAGGGACATATTGGACCAGTCCCTGCTGACCGAGTTCCATCGGGGTCATCCTGCGCGCCCTGCTCCGCGTCGTCCGGGTCGTCCCCGAGCCCCGGGTCGGCGCACGGCTGGAGCCGCGCATCAAGGGGGGGGTACTGTCACGGTTTCGGCCGAGGCTGCTCCTCTTCCTTGTTCGGGCAGGCTTCGGCGGTCGTCGTCTCCGGAGTACTAGCGGCCACCGTTCTATGTTTCATGTTCGTTTGGTTTGGTCTCTTTGTAACACCTGTCCCTTGTTTGTGTTTGATTATGTTCCCTATTTAGTTTTGTTTGTTTGGGTCAGGTGTTATGCGTGATTGTATTTTGTCAGCTTGCCACAGAGGAGTTTGTTCTCTCTCGTTTGTTGTCATTTTCGAGAGTTCGCACTGCGTGCACTTTTTCTTGTTTTCCGCACTGTGTTTGTGCGTAATTGTTCGCGCCGCCCGGTTGGGTTGGCGACTCTTTACCTGATTTGGATTTACTAAAGTCTGTTGAAGTAATCCTGGTTCCTGCGCTTGATTCCCTACACTCATCCACACACAGCACTCTGACAACAACATTTATTCTGATCAGCAAATGTTCTGCATTTATGGGAGCCTGATTTCAGATGTGTCCATGGAAAGAGGATTATTAGGGAAATCATTCTTCTTGCAAAGCATGTACATTTTTTAATAAACGATTATATTAATCTGACTATCCACAGTATTTGTGTTATTATGGGCATGTAACCGTACTCATTAGTTCCAGTCTTTCTCTAGCCTGAGGAGGGATTTCCACCAGGTCAACACCCAGTATGATGTCATTCTAAGGAAAAGGTATGAATGGAGAGACCAGAGACTGGAGGGGAGAGGGCATCTCTACACCATGGTAGTCAGAGGAGAGGAACAGGGAAGATACACATTACAGTACATGCAGTATAAATAAAACATGGGGGTAGGTGGGGAACACTTCTAACAAGAGTTAGAGGGCACTACATAAGGTGTATACTGTAGTCAAAGCAGATGCAATATGATGTGTATCATTGGGACAAAGTGAATGTAGGGTATTTTAGAGTGTGTGTGTGTGTGTGTGTGTGTGTGTGTGTGTGTGTGTGTGTGTGTGTGTGTGTGTGTGTGTGTTGGGTGCAGGTGTAGCACACAGTATAATCCCCTGTGTGGAGGTGTGTTGTGCAGTACAGTAGAGTAGAGTACTGACCCTGAGTGAGCGAGTGCAGGGGCAGGGCGGTCTGTCCAGGCTGGATGGTGAGCAGGCCTTGTCTCTGGAGGTTGACCAGGTGCTGCTGCTGGAGCTGTTGGACCTGCATGAGCTGCTGCTGGAAGGCCAACTGCTGGGCCTGCTGCTGCTGCTGAGGACCACACACACAAACACACACACACACACACACAAACAAACACACACACACACAGGGACACACCATGAGCAAACACACACACAGGACATGCGTGATCCACAGCAAACAAAAAATACATCATTTTCATACTATTATGGACTGTACATATTGATTGAACACAGAAACAGGCAAGTTCTAGTGCGTGTTCATATATAAAGAACATATAATGATCCAACGGACAAACACATGCTGATCCCAGTGTATACTGTATGTCTGAACATTTGCTTTTGCACGATAGCCCCTATGATAACACATACAGATTACAGTATGCTTACTCACACGCACACACGCACACAATCCCAATCGAACACATCAAACCACACCACATACACTCTCACACATTCAGCACCCTACAGTATGTGGGTTTGTCTGAGCACACTTCAGAACAGGTGCAGTATATGTCCCTCTCTCTCTTAATTAACGAGGAGTGTGGAGGTAAATGACGAACAATTAAACAACATAGTTAATCATTCATAATAAGAGCCACAAGATTTTAATTACACCTATTCATAATTCAGCAAACAACGTGTGACTAAATCAAAGTGTTTAATAACCACACCAGCTAGTCTCACAACTCTCTCAGGCATGGCACTGAGCTCGGGGAGGTGTTTCTTTCCCCCCAATGCAGCAAGTTGAGTTGAATCATAGAGTGACTGAAGAACCGACGTTTGCTCATCTTACAGTACTATGTCTACAACGTTCTGAGAAAGTTAGAGCGTCTTCATTGAAATATGTATTTTTGACTTGAGCTTGAACAATTGAATTTGACTCTAGAAAGTGGAATGTGTGAAGTGAGGGAGTAGAGAGAGAGAGAGAGAGAAAGAGAGAAAGAGAGAGAGAGAGCTTTGCGGTGTAGTCAGAACAATAAACAGGAGGAAATTATCTAATACATCCCCAATCTTTTCCAAATCAAAACAAATGGGGAGATGTTGTTTAGGTAACAGAGGAGTGGAGGAGTGGAGAGACTGGCCATTTAACCCTTCCATTAACCCCAGTCTCAGCTTCACCATCAAAATATGTATTATTCCTTAAACAACAACAGGAGATAACGATCAATCAAGACAAAGATCACCTTGTAATGTTTTCTATGATACATAAGGACGGCCAAACAAAATAAGCCTGGGAGAGGGCAGGATATTAGGCAGTATATGAGTACACAGGGCCAGTTGTCAAGGCGGGGTGGGGGGCATTAAAAGCAACCCAGGCTGCCAAGCTGTGCACCGCACCCTGTTACCAAACACAGGATACACCACTATGTTTACTTCTCACAATTGAGCGCATACAAAAAAGGTCTCGGTGCAACGCTGCTGTCAGGTCACCCGCCGGCGGCTCAGAAACCGCTGAAATAGCCAGATAAAATGTTCCCCCCTCCGCACGTCCTGGTTTGCCTGTCAAAGGTCTGCCGGGCTGGGCTTCCCTTCCCCTCACCAAGCCTCCTGCCCCACAGGCCCTGAACACAATACAGTACACTACACTGGTCTGATGTGGAGAGGCCTTCTCATTTCAAAAGGTCAAACAGGGGGTGTTTATATTTGTCCTGTTTCACTCCTGTACAAGTGTGAGGTGTGAAATGGAAAAGTGTTTTTTTGCATATCCCACTCCCCCTGAGACACCCTCGGAGAGGGGGGTCACGGCCAGGGATCAGATACGTTAGTCTGACCAGGAGGATTATGTAGTGGAATATTAATGTCTTCAATGGGACTCTTCTCTGTACTGTAGCTCCCTTCTGTCTGACAGCATAAGACAAAGATGCTACTGGTACTACGGGGGCGGTAGTTAACAGGGAACAATGTCTTTCATCAGTGCCCTAAATAAATATAGGGTGGCTTTTAAATTGCAACTGAATTTAACTCTCTCCCCTTCAAGATTTCTTTCTTGTGGACTCATCAGCTGACAGCAGCTCCCGTGCTCTCCCAGCGTGCAGACACATTAAACCCCAGGCCCTATAGACCAAATAAGAGGTTAACAAGAAGTGGCACGAGGGAGAGAAAAATACAGTTCCTGACAAGGATAAAGAGTGGCAGCCCTTTATTGTCAAGCTTCAAATACAAAGTTAAAGATCTTTGAAAAACTACATTTTGATGTCTTTAAAATAAAAAGAGGCACAAAGCAACAACAGGGGGTTATTGTCTGCCTGCCACAGGGGAGTTGCGGCGTGATTCTTATTCTGTCTTTTGATGGTTGCAGCAGCTAGAAATGCAATAGAAAAGGGAAAAAAGCAACACATCAGAGAGCAGAAGGACAGCCTCTCGAGGCTGCATCCATTTCCTGTGATCATACATAATACACTTCAAAAGTTCTCCGTTCAGCTGATCAATTGCACCTCCTTCTGACTAGTACCCCCCTCCCTCTCAAACTCCAGTTGTGTTTACATCAGATGCCACTTGGTGACAGGCCCTATCTGAGGCCGAGGAGCTCTGCTGTCACGTTGATTTATGGGAGCATCACACCACAGCTTGTCCAAACTGAAGCCTGCAGTTCATTAATTAGAGAGATGGGACTTTGAAGTCGGTAGCTTCAACAGTGTTTGTGTGTGTATGTGTGTGTGTGTGTGTGTGTGTGTGTGTGTGTGTGTGTGTGTGTGTGTGTGTGTGTGCGTGCGTATGTGAGAGCATGTGTGTGAATAATATTTGGCTTAATTTATATGCTTTTTTCCTCACCCTCCCCAAAACGTGGCTCTTAGACAGAAAATTCCCTGATTGTCTTTAAACTTTAAAATTTTGACCGCACAATAATAATTGATTTGTCCAGAGTGATGCCTGTATCCACGAGTCATTAACACGCATTGAGCCGCCGCTGATGAGCCAGTCTGGCTGAACTGGAGGTAGGGTAGGGGAGAGGGGGAAAAGGAGAGCGCGGGCAACAAAGCTGGGAGCGCACTGATATCTCACAATTACACACCTTCTCTGCCCGTGCCATTTCCACGTTAATGACCAAGCAAGCCTCTCAGATGTATATGCTAGACATTTCTGCCTTTCTTTTCCTAGGGGGCTCATACGAAGGGCACTCTCTATGTTGTAGGACACTTGTTTACTGGAGAGAACAAACAATTAAACAGCACAAATGTAGTTATTTCTTTCATTGCCTGAGCAGCAGTACAAGCCCCAGCCCCTGGAAGGAGAGGGACCATCAGTATTCCTGGTTTATTCAGTTATTACTGGTATTTACCCACCGTGCCTGACATGCTAATCAGAAGCATAACGGCACTTGATACTTTCGCTCTCTTTTTTTCTTCGTCAAACCACAGCCTCTGAACAGATGGAAAGAGGGAGAGAACACATGCCTTCCATGCGCTACTCTGAGCTCTGGGCTTGGCTGGCTGAGGATCGTACTGCCGGGGCAACATATGAGTTGAGTAAAGCGGTGGCGTGTGTTGCGGTGGTGGTGGTGATGATGTCATCATAGTGAGCCTACCTCTTTACTCTGCTTGCCCACATGTTGCTGTTGGAGGAGCTGGAGGTGGAGCTGTTCCTGCTGCTTCTTGTAGAACTCTTGGAGTTGCTGCTGCAAAAGACATGGGAGCTACGTCTGAGTGAGAGCTCACCAACCAATCAATGTATCAGGGCCAAGCTAAACTCAGCAGTTGGCCGCGGGGGATACTTTCAGTACTCTGGCTGTTCTCTATTTGATACAGTCTCATGTTCAGAAGGAACAGCAGCGCACAGTAGATCGTTCCCTTTAAAACACTTTATATGGTGGTTCGTGTGAGGATGTTGATGTGTTTTATGTACAGTATGAATGTCCCGTGTGTTTACCTGTTGTAACATGAGGGCCTGTTGCTGCTGCAGGAGCACCTGGAGCTGCTGAGGGCTCAGGACCTGCTGCTGGAGGATCTGTGATTGCTGAGGCGTTATACTGGGTGTCATATAGCCACTGACATGGAACACGACGAGAGATGGAGGAGAGAGAGAGAGTTATCGAACCTGAGAGGTGGACGATAAAGCCAGAGAGACGACTGAGAAACCGAAGAGATAGACGAGAGATGAGGAGGAGAAGAGAGAGAGAGAGAGAGAGAGAGGAGAAGAGAGAGAGAGAGAGAGAGGAGAGAGAGAGAGAGAGAGAGAGAGAGATGAGAGAGAGAAGAGAAGAACGAGAGAAGAAGAGGGAGAGAGAGAGAGAGAGGAGAGAGAGAGAGAGGGAGAGAGAGAGAGAGAGAGAGAGAGAGAGAGAGGAGAGAGAGCGAGAGGGAGCAGAGCAGTCACTAACCTGGTCTACTGAGACAGTGGTGCAGCATAAAACTGACATAGCCAGGATACATGCTTTATAGGATTATATGACCATAGCAAAGAAAGCGAGCTGGAGGACAACAAGCAGAGCCGGTATAGACTACAGCAGCTCAACCAGACCACTTGTCAGGGGCTACACACACTATAACAGCCACTCAAAAGAGAGCGCAGGATAGCTCCTCAACCCCTCTGGTCTGTACTGGAGAAATCACCTGGAGTGGCATCACAGCGAGAGATGCTACACCCCCTGAGCAGTAATGACACGATACTAGACCCAGGAGGAGTAATGACAGGAGATGGCCTGTGGTAAGCCTGTGGAAACTCTACAACAGCCCCCCCGACCTTCAGCACAACAGCCCTGTCCAGACAGACACACACAACCTAACACTAACAGGGCTGTCCAAGGTTTGATTGTTTCTGTTGAGGTGATCTGCTACTACATCCGTAAATGCAAAGATAGGCCACACACTGTAGGCTACAATGAACCTCTGTGTACATAAGCCATGTCATTTCATTAGAATATTGTCAACGGCAATTTATTTAATGTACAAATAAAGCGGCGGCGCCATGACAGGAGAAGGACACACACATACTGACACAGGCCCCTAACTAACTCCAACAGAAAGGTGTGAGTGGATGACTCTACAAAACAAGTGATTTGTTATGACACTGAAAGAACCCCACAGTTCCCCACAGTTGTCAGGCTGCCTTAATTGCTCCGGCGGCTTTGTGGCTTCTCAGAGTGTCTGGATGCTGCCACTCACAGCTGTGATGTGCCATACCATTAAAAGCCCTTTTCGCTGACATCTTAGTGACAAACAGCTACTGAGATGTACTTGATAGCCGTCTCACATTTGCAACTGTTAACATGTCGCGGTGTGTGTGTGTGTGTGTATGTGTGGTAAACCCGTGCTCTGTGTCTCTGAGGCTGATGTCACCGGCTGAGCAGACATTAGGGCTGACAGTCAGTCTTCACCAAGGTTACCCAAATTGTACCGCGACCTCATAGCTAATTATGGCCCTTTGAAATTTCTATGCATCTCTGAATGTAATTTAGCTGTTTCCAATCTATCTAGCAGGAGAGGTGTTCTGTGACACACGCTGCATGCATATCACCTGATTCATTTTCCCCACTGGAACAGAAAACAAAAACTAAACGGGTCATAATGAGCAGCTTGTAATCTCACGGCACTGGAAAGGGCAGTGGTGCCAAACAGGATGGCGTGGCGCTGATGCTGATGCTCTCTGTAAACTTCAGTGAGAGCTGTTCCGCACTGCGAGATTAGAGGTGTTTTGTCCTCCTGTAGGGGAAACTCGAGGAGGTTACACACCACCCAGGATCCAACGCACTTAACATTTCTCATTTTCAGTGGGTGGCGACGAGAGGATGAAAATGCTATATGAGTTCCTCCTGTATTACGTCTTAATATGCAGTCCATCTTGACTTTTTCACATGACTTGTCCTGTCATTTGCATAGTCAAGACCCCCTTTCCTAATTTCACAGTCATTATGCACTGATGTGCTTTTTTCTCAGCATCACTAATTTTGATCAACTATTTTCAAGGTCAACTGGGCAACATGTCTCGCTACAGTATAAGCCCTTTACGTGATGAGATAGATATAGAACTGCCTTTAAAAAAATGCCTCAGCACCACTAACAATTACCTCACACACCAAGGATAAATAATAATGGATTTTCTTTGATGCTTTATATTAAATTACATGAGTGAAACTATCTACTTTAGATTTGACATTCTCTACTTTTACTGTCAGTGTTAGGGCAGTAAATATAACCAGGGTTATTTTCACATGTAGTTAACCATTTGTATAATGATTATTTGATAGTACATGTTTTATAGAGTCTAACAGAGATCCAGTGTAGAAAAATAGAATTAACACAATATGTTATACCATTTCACACTTCTCAATAACTGACAATTTCATTACAAATTGGATTGGAATTTTATTCAATTAAAATCATTATTTTGACACCTTGAGCAGCACATCCTCTGGTTCAAGCAGCCTCACACCTTTCCTTGTCATGGAGGGGGTGTCTGGTCCACTGTAACTACCCCTAGACACCCAGAGACGGCAGGCTGAGCCCCGGCAAACGGCTATTACGGTCCACATTTTATTATCCATTACTACTGAGGTCATTAGCAGCGAGAGGGATTGTACGGTTCTTAACCTATTGATCATTGTAACTACTACCATTTCATCCAGTGTGTTGAATGAGAGAAAATCTGACTGAGACAGGGGGCTATTAAGGGGAAGGGCGGTGTATCATGCCTATTTAACGTAAACACAGGACGCCAGTCTCCATTTAGAACGCTCTCCATATGATATACTCCATTATCTCTGGTTAACATCATGACTCCAGATGATGCACAGAAATATACACTACCGTGCATCTCGGAGTCGCCTCTTCACTGTCGACGTTGAGACTGGTGTTTTGTGGGTACTATTTAATGAAGCTGCTAGTTGAGGACCTGTGAGGTGTCTGTTTCTCAAACTAGACACTCTAATGTATTTGTCCTCTTGCTCAGTTGTGCACCGGGTCCTCCCACTCCTCTTTCTATTCTGGTTAGAGCCAGTTTGCGCTGTTCTGTGAAGGGAGTAGTACACAGCGTTGTACGAGATCTTCAGTATCTTGGCAATTTCTCACATGGAATAGCCTTCATTTCTCAGAACAAGAATAGACTGACGGGTTTCAGAAGAAAGTTATTTGTTTCTCGCCATTTGGAGCCTGTAATCGAACCCACAATTTCTGATGCTCCAGATACTCAACTAGTCTCAAGAAGGCCAGTTTTATTGCTTATTTTATCAGCACAACAATTTTCAGCTGTGCTAACATAATTGCAAAAGGGTTTTCTAATGATCAATTTGCCTTTTAAAATGATAAACTTGGATTAGCAAACACAACGTGCCATTGGAACACAGGACTGATGGTTGCTGATAATGGGCCTCTGTACGCCTATGTAGATATTCCATAAAAAATCTGCCGTTTCCAGCTACAATAGCCATTTACAACATGAACAATGTCTACACTGTATTTCTGATCAATTTGATGTTATTTTAATGGACAAAAAAACGGCTTTTCTTTCGAAAACAAGGACATTTCTAAGTGACCCCAAACTTTTGAACGGTAGTGTATGTACATCTGAAGAGAGTCTGAGGGAGAATTCTCTGTCAGTCTGGTTAATTCACAGAGAACTAATACTAGGAGAGTTCTTTGAGCAGCTACTTGTACACCAATATGTGGGTGTGAAAAATAAGACATTCTGGGCATGCCAGAAACAGCTGACGTTTATGGATTTCAGTAAGGTGTGGTGCTCTCCAGGTGCCTTGCGTATATAAACATTCAAACCTGGAACATTCTCACACAGCTGCAGTGTGAGTGACTGTAGGCAATATACCAGCGCAGGCCTGCTGGCCAACACACACAAACGCAAGCACACACATGCATAGAAGCATGCAAAAACTCAAACATGCACACACAGGCACTTAAAGTCCATACAGTATGTGTGCTCAATAAATTGTAGCGCATGCTTGTACAGTATGTAATTACAACAATATTAATAAACAAAAATAAAAAGACTATTTTTAATCATGTAAAAAAAACAAATTTTTCCTGCTTTCAAAGATGCAAACTTTGAAATTTGAATTGTCACAGTACAATGCAAATACAGCAGTAATACCTTATGTGTCTGTCATTATTACAATGACAGTTGAACTAACAACAGGTTAGCCACATTTAAAAAATATAAAATATTTACTATACTTTTTCCTCAATGCATTTTTAGTTGTCTGAGAGAGGAGGTTAGTGTACCAGGCAGCGTCTGATGCCGTGCTGCCTGGAGAACAGAGCAGGAGTGTGTTCAGAGTGAAGGTAGGGCACAGCACACAGTGATTGGAGCCTCTGCTGCCTTTAAAGGACACTATGCCAACTTCTCTTTGTGCGTCACCACCGAGAACAAGCATGGAAATGATATTCTAATGAGGAAACATTGGCCACACATCTGACGACGTCGGGAATTCACTGATTCACACTTAATGAAGACGCTCTCCAACCAGCGCTCCCCCCAGAAGCCAAAGGTCAAAGCATGGTGAGAGAGAGAGAGAGCGAGAGAGAGAGAGAGAGAGAGGGGGGAAGCAGACCCAGGCTTAAGACATAAGGCTAGCCTCCCTCCCTCCCCTCCTGGTGATACAGGGGCAATTAAGGAGAATAGAAAGACGAAAAACAGGCCAACTTCAATGAGACCATCGCTGATATTAAAGTAGCCATGAAGGACCAGGTTAGAAGAAGAAGAAAAAAAAAATCTACTTTTTATATCTTTGTCCCTGGTGTGATCTTGTTTTGTAAGGACATCAAATAGAATGGAGAAGTAGAAAATAAGAAACCCTTGAGAAATCAGAGGCCAGCCTGTTTGATGCTGTTGGTTTACCTTGGCCTGAGACATTTGAATAGTAATGGTGCTCCGTCTTGAATAGCGTATAATCTCAAGCAAGAAAATGTCTCCGAAATGAGGATTTCACAGGAGGCATTGTATTGAAGTGATGCATGAACATAATTAGTCCTCGATAAGATCGGAATGAATGACTCATTCCTCATCTCTCATTCAGGTTTATTGAAATATTGAAGGTGGATTGCGGTTTAGAGAATATGTCAAGCATGTTTTCTCTGATGGAAAAAAAGGATCAACAAAATATGTTGTAATTTTGGTGTATTTGTGTGTATTACTATCAAAAATATATAATAATAATCATAATAACAATAATTTCACAATAACCAATGTATGTAGTCCCAGGCTACAACATGCATGACAAAGAACACATGGAAACAGCTACCCATCCTGGTTTTGCTAAGCCCTCAGTAATTTCTCTCTGTCATCCAAATTCAAGCTGCTTTAAAAACGTTTACAGTTCAGATAAACAGGATAATCACAGTCACATTTTCTCCCCATTTGCTATTATATATTCTGCGGGGGGATTGAAATGATACGCAACAACTGTAAAAACAAAACTCATAATTGCATTTTAATTAACTTTTAAACCACAAACAAGATTTCAGCAAAGCTGGGCCAGCGTTCCGTAAAACAAACAAACTACACGGAGAAGTGAACGAGCCTCTCACCCCAACAACAACAGCTGAGCTGCGTGGTGTCGCCTCTTTCCCACACTCTGGGCAGCCAACACTGCAGGTGCCCACTGCTGAGCACAGCGCAGAGGGCATGGCCCCCACCCTGACACACGCACATGCGTTTGCCCACACACACACACACACTTGGGGGCCATTTCCTGTAGTTGGCTGTAGTAAGAGTATATTACTGAATAAAAGGCTGATTTCTTTCAGTTTTTTCTTTATGTTCCACTGTATTCACTGATAGAGATACCTCTGTATTGATCAGATTTTCTTGCACTAAAATTATGTGATAAAATAAAATGAGGACATTATACAAGTATATGAGTTATGTTTTGAAGTGAGTGATAAAAAACAACTTCTTACAAAAGTCTAAGCCCTGAAATCCAACAAACTTTTGATCACAAACTATTCTTTTTTTAATGAGGGTTCAAGTTTCCATTTTCACTGATAACATATCTTGTCATTCTTTCTGACCTTTCAAGCCACACCCCCATATGTAGATTTTCAGGCACTTACCACGCAAGTTTGAGACACAAAAATAAAACAAGAGATGACAACTTTAGTGCCTACAATAGCACATTCACCAGCCCATTCACCTTGTCCCAGACCCGGTGGGTGCTTCCCTACATCAGAACCCCCTCTTCTCTTCCTGTGTACCTCCGTGTGCCCGTGACTTATGGTTTATCAGCTCAGCACCATTACGCAACCCTGTGTGCCTTCAGATGCATTATTTGAATCAGTTGAGATTTAATTAAGATCACAGCCTTTAAAATCCCCTTCAAATGAAAATATACCCAAAGACACGCCTGACCCATCCTCATGCAGATTGTTTCCATACTCTGCACACCAGCAACGCAAACCTAATCCTTGTTTCCATGACGGCAGACAAGGGGCCACAAATTGTGTAGGCTTTTTTTACACGGCTTGTGCTGCTGTCTTTTGTGAGTCAGAAAAACCACGTGGCCAATTCATAATAATAAAAAGGGGAGAAGACAGCAGCTGGCTTACAGAATGTGTGAAAACCATCCAGAGATAAATCTAGATCCAACATATTATGCCTCCTCTTATATCTGGGCACAGCCTACTCAAACATTCCACAACTACTGCGACAAATTAAACATCTATTATGTTCTTTGAGGAGCACAGCAGTAATCAACACAGTATCACATTATGCATTCTAGTAGCAGAGCAGGACGGGACAAGTGGCAAATATATACTAGTTTATTTTGTTACACCATATCACTGTCTATACACCATGTAGCCTAATCATACTGTTAACGTACTATCTCTATACTTTGAAATACATAACATCTTTGGTGCTGACTTCATCTGCCTATCTGATATAGAGACACACCGTGACCGAGAGCTATGAGCAGTAATGCACCTTGAAACCGAAGCTGTTTTCAAGTCAAAACGTTCCTCAATCCAGCGAGGAGTCAGAAGCAACAGCAGAGAGCAGCTGGTGGTTTTTCTATATCACCGGTAAACTATTCCCCCTCACTCACTCACTCCACACTAGAAAGCAGTGGCCACTCCTGTAAAGGATATCCCAGAGCGCTGTGGGCTCTCGCTGGCTGTCGGCTGCCACCGTGCCCACTTCTCTGGGTACAGGGTAATATCTGGTTGCCTATGTCATGGTTTAGAAATGACAGGTGCTGGCAGCCTCTCGCCTTGACAGGCCACTGCACAAATAACGGCCCTGCCTGAAAGGGCTAATGCACTACTAATGAACAATAAATCAACTTTGATTACAAACTGTCATCCCAATCAGCTCGCACTCCAGCTCTCCCAAACTGCACCCTCAGCCCAGCCGGTGCAGCTGCACAGCATTACAGTGCACACTGGCTGTTTAGGCTTCATTTTCCCCAAATCTGATGTTTACCTCCACCAGCCCCTCTCTCTCTACACTCTACCACTACAGACACACCCTCCCAACGCTGGGGCAGTTCAGACACAGTCTGGAGCTCAGTACTAACACGGCAGAGGGGGTAGAGGGTGAAAACATTAGCCTTAAAAGTGAGGAAAATGTTGTTGTTTTTTTTAAGCATGCGTTAATATATTAATTGAAAATGTTGTTGTTTTGGAAGACTCTGAAGGCTCTCTCATATTAAAAGTTAAACCAGCACCACAAAGTCAATAACGGTCTTCAGTCTAATACCTAAGGGGTGTTTCATGGGTTCAAATCTACCACCAGGGAAGAGGGGGAAGTTGGAGTAGAGAGGTTAAACTTTACCTCTCATTTCATTCGCTGCCCCCTTTCCTACACACACGCGCATGCACGCGCACACACACCCACGTATGCATGAGTTCGCGTGAGCACACACAAAAAAAACTTTTCAGGAAAAATGTCAGTGCTGACATTTCAAATGATTGAGTCTGGCTAAAATGATTTCGTAGTGGCAGTGTTAAATATAGAGTTGTGCCAGTGCCAGCCTCTCCCTTAATTTCAAGTGACAGAGTGAGGAGAGGATCAACCCCCCCCATCACCTCGCTGCCTCCTTCACTTGACAGGAACACTGTCGATAGCCTGAGTGGGAGCCAAGTCTGACCGACACACACACACACACTCAGCTCACAAACACTGTGACTATCTCATGTAACACTAACAGTAAACAATAACAGCATGCCCTAGTGAAGCTGTGGGCTTGTTAGTAACACACTGGGATGCAGAATATATTAAATAATAATATGTGATAAACAACTTCACTGCCAAAATACAAACATGCCGCATTGCCTTTCCTAGAACTTTCCATACTTCAACAACACATACTGTAGTACCAGAGCCTGATGATCTGGTTAGTACAGCGTCAGAATAAAGAAAAGAAAACAAACATAACTAGAATAGTAACTACAGTATATCTAAACTGGAATAGGAGCAACTTCCTTTGAAGTGTTACCTTAATGTGAAGTGTTACCTTAATGTAAAGTGTTACCTTAATGTGAAGTGTTACCTTAATGTAAAGTGTTACCTTAAAGTGAAGTGTAACTAAATACACAAACAAATAAACAAAACACTTGAACATTTCATTTGTTGAAGCACATTTCAGCAAATGAAAACTCTATCTCTGAATGGCATCAGCAACTATCAGCAGGTAAACAAACATCTAAACAACACATAGCCTATCTTTAAAAACACATCATTTCCCCACAAATCACACAATGCTTGTAGTGTAACAGCCTTCAGGACAAGCCTGTACTCTGTCCCTATCTACAGAACACACTAAAACCTGGATCCATTCTCTCCTTAAACAAACTGCATGACAAAATTAACCAATTACAATGATAGAACATCAACAACAAATAGACAAAAGCCCCCATCTTTTCCCTGGACAAATGACATTGTCAAGTTTTATACAAGAAAGCTGGAAAAATTGCAGAATCAATCATATTGACAAACCTGACAAACTCCATTTAGCTGGCAGGGTAAACAGAGAGCTGGGCCGTGCAGTGTGGAGTGGAGCGGAGAGGAGCGAGAGAGAGAGAGAATGAGAGGCAGGCAGGCAGAGAGGCAGGCGGACGCTGCTGTTCTGTGGCGTCTCCAGGCTTCCTCGGGATACAGACAGATTGCACGTGCAAGGTTGCTCCCTGGCTGACAAGATACAAAACTATCCAATCAACCACGCCCTTCTCCACCAATCACAACCAGCCCCCTGAACATAATCAATTCAAATGGCCTACACAATAGGGAGCCTCAGGCTGAGCTTCAGGTGAACCCATGCCTTTGTGTGGGGCCCCTTTAAAAAAAAATACACAGTTGACGGCTGTTAACCCTTTGACCTATTGAAACAATGGATGCCTAAAGAAAATAAGCCCTTTAATTAAACAACAGATAAGTAAACACAGCTATCCAGCTGAAAGAAAGAAAGAAACTAGCCTGCTATCAGACACTTTATTGTTCTAGTAAATGGAATTGTTTACAGCATCAGGACAAAGAGCCAAACTCATTTTATGTTCTGAGAACAACAAACAGCCAACAAACAATTGAGATGCTTTATTGTTGTTGTTGTTGTTGTTGTTGTTGTTGTTGTTGTTGTTTTTTTGGGGGGGGCAATACCATAGTAAAGCATTTCAGTCTAAAATAAATAATTTTAATTAAACATGTTTGTGTGTGTTTTTTAAAGTTTTTTTTTACGTGTAAGAAACGGCTGTTCCATTAACTATATCATTACTTTATTTTTCCAGATATCACTTTTTATTTTTTCTTCTCCAGATATCACTTGTTTCTTTTTCCAGATACCACATCTATCTTTTTCCAGGTTATCTTTATTTTTTTGCCCTTTGTGCCTAAATTGTAAAAATAAGCAATAAACTCGTTGATCTACCAAAATACATGATTTTTCCTCTGATTACTAATATCACTTGTCCTAATACTTAACTACACAACATATACTACTACTGCCTCTGGTGCTATCACTACTACTCAATCACAATAAGAATAATTAGCTGTCTTAATAGCATCACGTTTCAACAGCCAGTATATAAAAGAGAAAAAGGTGAAAACAGGGCTCTGCCCTCTACTGGACATGTATGAACTGCACAGGACTGAGAGAAAAAGGAGAGAAATAAATACACCCCCAGAAAACATTTCTATATGTATTTTTCCTCCGTTTTGAAATAATTGTTTTTAAACCATGATAAATCTGACTGTATTATCTGAAAATATACTATTTAAAACTATTCAGTTCAGTTTGAGAGGAGTCAAAAGGATGAAATACTTTCAGACACAAATACTAAGACATTAAAATAAACCTTTAGTCAGGATTAACACCTAACTCAATTAATTACCATGTTAATAAACACAACAAAATTCAAACATAGCCATAAAAAACGGTTTATATCAATGTCCATAAAAGCTTGGCTAAGGATGAAGGAATGCTCATGGAACACGTACAGTGCCTTGCAAAAGTATTCATCCCCCTTGGCGTTTTTCCTATTTTGTTGCATTACAACCTGTAATTTAAATTGATTTTTATTTGGATTTCATGTAATGGACATACACAAAATAGTCCAAATTGGTGAAGTGAAATGAAAAAAATAACTTGTTTCAAAAAACAAACAAAAATTAATAACAGAAAAGTGGTGTGTGCATA